ACCTGCTCACGTACGCACAAAACCAAAAATGACAAAAAAAAAGAGAAGAAAAAAATCGAAAAAGTATTTGGCATTTGCTACTTTAACGGCCTGGGTCATCAAAGTATGACAACCTTTGCAAGCCATTTATGAATTTTCCAATAGTAAGCCTGGTTAAGCCACGATTTCCATTTATTTGCCACTGACCAGGCTCATAAATTATCCAGGCTTAGAAGCCGTGCGGTTGGTCCGAGATAAGCACGTGCAACGTTTTGCTGATTGATTAAACCTCGCGAAGATCAATATTGCAGCATCAACTAGAAAAGTGTTTGGAGCGTTTCAGGAATTGTTATTACATCGTTTGCTAGTTTTTCCATTTTGGCTCACCTAAAATCGGCTGCTCATCAAATGGCTAGCAGGGGATGCTGATGCCAAGCAGCGAGACAAACGGACAGACAGACAAACGGCACACGTGCCAAAGTCACTTTTGATATAACTACATGATGGCAGCACTTAATATGCCCCGCAGTTGGCTTCGGGTTTGGGTTCATGTCCGTCTGCTCGCCCACAGCTTGTAGACGTGACGAGTGCGGCCAAGGCGCGTTATGTCCTGGATGGGAATAAAGTCTGAACTCATTGTCATGTACGGCGCATAAACAGCAACTGTGGGCGGTCCACATAGTCAACAACAGCATGGAGCAAAAATACTCAATACGACCGTTTGCCAGTCGCAGGCGAGCCCGCATCAAGCATACGCACCGTGTACTTTCACTCGCCGTATAGTTGTCTACCCAAAACATTAAACAAAGCACTTGCCAAGATCCTAGCATAAAATCCATATTACAGTCAACAGACAAACAATGAAAATTCACAGTGGGGGCAGTTGGTAATTGAGCTGACACAGCGTGAATTCGTTATGTAATTAGAATAATACCAGCCAAGTAAATAAAATGCAACAATAATATTTTAGACCAATGTGGGGCCATGCTTACACAATTTGACAATAAATTTAACTGGAAATATTTGAAAATTATATCATTTAATTTACCGCATTTAATTCAACTGCAACTGACATAAAAACAATTAAATTTGGACTGTTTGAGGTAGTTTAAAATTATGTTATAGCCATTAAAGGGGTAACCAAAGGGTAAGCTGTAGAATCACAAAACATTTTCATTTATTTCTGTTGATATGCATGTGACAGTCAGGGTGAGATGTACCTGTAACCTTACGGGGATCAGCCGTGGGTACTACTAATAGTAAAGAAGAAACTGGGTATGTTAATTTGAATAGATTTTTTGCACCTCAAAGTCGTGAACTCTCGCCTTTTCCTGCTTGTTCTTACTGTTCACTTTCGAAAACTTTGACTCTTATGATGCAAAAGTGTGGACGATTGCTCCGTAGTTCGGTTAACGCATCGAATTCATTATAAATGCAAATCAGATTTGGCTACAACTTCAAGTTCAATCTGGCCATCAAATTCATAGCGGGTGTGCGCGCCTCGGAAAGGCCAACAAACCAGGTGATAGTCGAAGCCAAAAGTTGTCTTAGTTTGTTAACCCGTTTTCGGCCAGAGGCCAACGGCCAAATGCAGCAACCTTAGGCGACGCTCAGCTGGCAGATTAGTTATGCCATCTTGTTTCTATTTTTATTGTTACTGCGCTCGCTCTAGGTCTTTCATGACACATACGCACTGTGGGCCATATTTATGACAGCGTGCATATGTATGTAGGTGTGTGTATGTGAGAGAGAGTGGGTGCTTTATTTTCTAATTACAGCACATTCGCACAAGTACGCGAGTGTGTGTGTGTGTGTGTGTGTGTGTAATTAGTGTATGTATGTTTATATTAAAAGCCGTCGCGTTCGCTGCTTAATAAATTAAACGACAATTTGCACATGCAAAAGTTGCTCGGTGCCTGTCAATGTTGTTGTTGTTGTCATTATAGCCTTGTTGTTGTTGTCATTGTTGTTGTTGTTGTTGTCATTGTTGTTGGTGCTGCTTCTGCCAGTGCTCGTAAAGTGCTGTTTAGCTACTGTCCTTACTCGCAAACGAGTTTGAAAAAGCAGCCGCGTCGCTACAGGACGACGAGGACATTATGCGTGGGCATTATATGTAGGCATGTTTGCAATTAAAATAAAAAGCAGGGCACAAGTGTCAGTCGGGCCGCCTGTATATATACGCTGTGCACCCTGTACTATGTACTCAAATGTTCTTAGCTGTGACTAAGCCTAAGACGCGTCCTTATCCAGGCTACAAAAATAAGTTATTGCCTACTTGTGGGCGCTGCGACGCTCACAATAAGCTGCGAATTTATGTGCGCACTTTTGACGCTTTTTTGTGCTCTATCCCTATAACAGCAGGGTGCATCAGTTGAGTATCGATCCGTGCATAGGGCATGTCCTTTTCTTTTACCTTTTGCTCAATTTGTTGTGGTATTTTTACGCTGGATTTACTACCATTAAATGGTTCTTGGTACATGTCTTAATCTCATTTATTATGCGTATGTATTAGATAAATAATTTTACGTTTATTTGTCAACAAATCAGCAGCTGGTGTCGTCAATATTTGATTGCTTACACAAAACGCTTTGACCGTTATGGCAAATTGATAAATAAATTGGCCAGAGTCTAATAAATTGGCAATAATTTGCTTTGATATTTTTTTCGTTTAGGTGACGAGTTATTAAAATTGGATTTTTTTTAAGCTTAACTTCTCGTTTGTTAATTTTGGGTTTTTTTGCGGCTTGCAATAATTGACATAATTTATTTGCATGCCAAATTTGACAAATTTGCATTTCTTTAAGTCTACTGCCATAATGTTTAACACTTTGTGGCATGCGGAAATATTTGAGAAAAAAGTCCTTAACTGGCAGCACAAACATTTATGCTAATTCGAAGAAAGAACTAACCAAACACGTTAAACTGGCACTAACTGACGAGCACAGATTTCCAATTTTTTTAAAAAAAAAAAACTTGATAATTTCGAGAATTAACTAATGCTCTAATTTATAGCTTTATAATATTTCTTAACACCAAGGCAAATCAAAAGCTCCGCTCACGTTGACGCTGCAAAATATTGACTAAGGCAAAAAGGACACGAAATTATGATTATTTTTATGCATATTTTGCTTATAGAGTCAGGTCGTGGCTGTGCTCTCACTGTGTCGCAGATTTGAAAAGTGTTTTGTATAAATAAACAGAACTATTGACCCATCTGGCCCGTGGGGCGTTAACATAAAACTTTGTTCTCAGTCGGATGCCGGGCCTGGACGCACTTTGTTTATCTCTTATCAATTGTTGTTGTGCGTGCGGCGTGCTCTGCTGTTGACTGACTGTTTCTTTAATTTATTTTATATATTCTTTGGGTTTTTGTGTTTTGGTTTTTATGTTGCTGCTGCGTGCATCTTTATGAGCGTGTGGCGCCCGAGACCTTGAAATTGTAGCTAGTTTATTTTAATATGTTTACATTTGTTTCGTTTGCATATGACATTGCCACCAGCGATAGGCGGTGGCACCGCCAGCAGCCGAGACGCCGAAATGCCGAGCAGAGCAGCTGGCCGCACAACTTAGTGGTCTGGGTGGAGCCATAAACAAAACGAAGACAAATTATTTTTGGTTTTAGGCTGTGGCTTAGGCTCCGAATCTTGATTGACAACTTCTGAAGCTACGCCACATTCAGCTCGGACAACAACAAAAACAACCAGCATCAGTTAAGTCATGAATGGAAAGGGAAATTGATGAGATTCACAAGAGAATTTCAAGAATCAATTAATAGGGGCTTAAACTATCAGATGGTTTTATTAGAAAAATATTCGAGTAAATTCAAAGTTTGTTTCGATTGTAGTTATTATATGCAAAGCAGGCTGAGCTGCGATTACTCATAGTTAAACTTATCCATGATATGCATCTATGAGGCGCCATCGATTTGCAAAACTATTCAGTTATCTCAGTTGTGGATCTTTCGAATTTTAATGCTGAACAGACTTAATTATGCAAATTGATTCAATATCAAATATGTTGTTGGCATTTATTTATCTATAGCAGGGATCCAAGAGTCAAAAACAATAATTTTTATGATATCAATAAAGCATGATGAAAACGTGATAATCGCTGATCAGATTAAATGGTCGTCGCCTGGCGCCAGCTGATTACCGTAGCATAGCTCCAGGTGACGAACAGTAAAAACCTCAAGGTCGCAACGCTTGTTAAGTTTATGGCATCTATTTTGGCCAACTGTCTGACAGGCCAACAGCAAGCAACATTGAGGGCTAAACGGATGCGCAAAAAATGTCAAAAGATTTGAAAATTGATATCTATTTGCGGCTACGATTATTTTATAGATATTGAGGCCATTGTTTCGCTTAACACGCACATTCCTTCGAATGTAACTTGATAAATTTTTTGGTGTCCCTCGCCAAATAATACAGCAAAGATTTAAATTCATAGCAAACCAGACGCCATAATCGATTGGGTATTCCCAAACTAGAAATCTTTGCACCAAACAAACTCAAAATGTATACTTAACCCAACTGGGAATTTTAAATATCGCCTCGAACTTGTTTTGATGCGCCGCCAATCCAAAATCGGTATCAACATCGATCGGCATCTAACCAACATTTTTTTTTTTTGCATACAAATATGTATAAAGGAAATAATTTCTTTTATTAAAACCATGATCATATCACAAAATAGTGTAAACTCGTTTTGCTGATGAGCCTTTGCTGCGGCTTGGACTGGCCCTAGTCTCGCCTTCGGTTGGCTCTTGAGCAAGGGCTGCGACCCATTTGCATAATGCCAACAGCAATATTTGCAGGAATGGGCCGACATATCGGAGCTATGCTATGCGCTGCGATGTTGACATTGCTGGCATTGTTTTTATCGCTTTGGCTCGTCTTTCAGGGCTCGATATCAATTCAATAGACAAAAGCAGCAAAAGAAGTTACTGCTAAATGCTTCGTTTCGCAGCCGCAGCCGCCGCCGCCGCAGTAACAACAACAACTACACCGTATCAGCCATAACAGCAACAACAACAACAACAACAGCAGCAGCAGCAGCGACCACCGTGGCTCGATGTCTGCATGAACTTGAGCGCAGTCGAGTGACACAGTTTTGAGGGTTTCGTATAAATAGTAGATCCATTGGTGCTCCAAACGTCAGACACAACCGAACAGTCAAAGTTAAAGAATTCAAGATGCGTGCATTCATTGTAAGTAGCCAGGAGCCAACAGCAACCACCATCATTTAGAATTACCTCATCTATCTTTTTTGTGTGCAGGTTATGTGCTTAGTGGCAGTCGCCTGCGCCGATAAGCTGGGCTACAACTACCAGCCCGTTGGACACTCCAACCAAGGATTATCCTTCGCCCCTGGCAGCGGAAGCATCAGCGGCGGTAGCTCGCTGGGTGTACTTGGCGGCGGATCCGCTGGATTGGGTGGATTGGATGCCGGCGTTAGCGGCGGCAGCATTGGTGGTGGTTCCAGTCTCGGCGGTCTCGGTGGTCTCGGCAGCATCGGCAACGGCGGTCTGTCCGGCGGATCCATTGATGCTCCAGTCTCTTACAACGCCCCTGCCCCAGCTGCTGAATTGGAGAAGGAGTTCTTCACCTTCAGCGCCAACGAACAGGACTTCGATGAGCCCCAATCTTTGGACAAGGTTTCCAGCTCTCTGAACAAGGGTCTGCGTGTTATCTTCATCAAGGGACCCGAGAACCGTGGTCTGGAGAACGCTGCTCTCGCTTTGGCCAAGCAGGCTGCCCAGCAGGAGACCGCCATCTATGTCCTGAACAAGCAGGCCGATATCGGTGATCTGGCCAACAAACTGAACTCCATCCGCAGCAACACCAACAACAAGCCCGAGGTGCACTTCGTCAAGTACCGCACTCCCGAGGATGCTGCCAACGCTCAGCGTGCCATCCAATCACAGTACGATCAGCTGGGCGGTTCCAGCCACGCTACCAACGGTGGTGTTGCCCCCGTCCTGAACTTTGCTTCCCAGGGTCCAGTGCGTCAGGCCAGCGCTAAGTCGCCCGAAAATGCTTACTTGCCCACCTCGATCTTCCGTCGTGTCTAAATTTCTAGTTAGATTTAGAGCATATGATTGATATTGACACCGACCTTTGACTGATTACCTAGTTATTGTTGAATAATGCTTAATAAATTCGCTTACATGTTACCTCAAAAGTATTTGTTTTATTTAGGATGGTTCACTAACTGCATACCATTATACCATTTCACTAAAATGATAACCAAGGTTGCAACCTGAATTGAACTGAACCGAAAATGCAATAATTTTTTGTACTAAGAACCGATCCATTAACCAAAACAGATGCCCAAAAAGCAGCCCAAGAAATGACTGGACTGCACCATAATTAAAAAAAATCGTTGATTTTGACTTCAATCAAGTTTTCCGTTCATCGTTGAATATTGATATATGTACTTTGTATCCGTACTATGTACATACAAGAGGGTAAAAAAGAAACCATTTCCCGCCCTTAGAAATTTAGATCCACCTGTACCTGAACCAGATCTCAACTATTGTTTATATATAATGTGATTTTTTTCTCATATAACTTTTAACTGCGTTTTCTACCTGAGAAGAGGTAGATTTTGCGAAAAGTGAGAAGCCAAGTATATGGTAATCAAAAGAGTTGCATGCAATAATTTTCAACCAAGTTACAATTGTTGCTGGAAACTTTGCCTTCGTGTGCACATATAGAAAATTAGCTCTCAATGTGCGTTGATCACGAATCACTTAATGCACATATATGTCAAAATCAAACCAGAATAATTTTTAATGTTAAGATTTGTTATAAATTTGATAAGAAATATTGTATAAGAATTATCAATAGCCAAAAAAAAATTGTGAAAATAATTAAATTAGGAGTATGTATAGGGGCTTTTATAGAGGCAACAATAAAAAACCTGTCAAATGAATGGTCTACCAAAACAATCCATAAAGAAGAGATAATGATAAAGCCGCATATCCAAAATGGTGAAGTTGGAGGCAATTGAAAAGAATATCAGACTGCAACTTTCACCGTAACTTCTATAGATTTCTAAGAAAATAATATAAATATGTTAATAATAAAAATTTAGTTTTCTATTATTTCTGAATCATGTTCAAACTCTATTAATTTTATTTTATAAATTGATCAACATTTTAATTTAACTAATTATTTTTCAAACTCAACGAAACGCCTACTTATGGCGCAAGCGTCGCAGAATTGAGGATGGCAAGTAGTTGCTTTCGGGCTCCTGGATTTGTCCAGCGCTGACGGCGGGCGCAGCTGACCGGGATGCAAAGTTGAGAGCATTGGCCACGCCACCGTTGATGTTTTGGCTTGTGCCGCCCAGTGAGTCATATTGGCTCTGAATGGCCTTTTGTGCGTTGGCAGCATCCTCTGGAGTGCGATACTTCACGAAGTGCACCTCGGGCTTGGCGTTGGCATTCTGGCGCACGGCATTGAACTTGTTGGCCAGTTCGTTGAGGTCGGGTTGCCTGTGAAGCAAATAGATAGCCGTTTGCTGCTCGGCAGCTTGTTTGGCCAAGGCGAGAACAGCATTCTCGTAGCCACGATTCTCGGGCGCCTTGATGAAGATTACACGCACGCTCTTCTTGACCGCGGCAGCTATTTTGCGTGCTGCATCGGGATCCTCAAAGTCGGCCTCATTGGCATGGAAAGAGAAGAATTCCTTATGGATGCCGGCTTGTGGCGCTGCACTGTAGCTGACTGGCCCGCCCAGACCAGCGCTGGTGCCAATTGTGCCAATTGAGCCAGAGCTGCCAATGCCATCGGTAGCCACAGCCGTGCTGCCGGGCCTGTAGTTATAGCCCAAGCGACCGGCACTAGCTGCCGCCACTAAACACAATACAATCAAAGCGCGCATCTTGCCGTCCCCTACTGTTCTTTTAGAATGCTAGCCATGTCTATATAAACTTAGCTTTTATACCGCCAACGCTGCCAGCGACTATAATTAGACCAGTTGATCTAGTCGAATTGAACCGTCGCGCTCTCTAGCGCCATTTCTTGCTGTTTCTTGATCCGCTCGCCGTTTGCTGGCGGAAGAGGCTTACCACGACTACGACCACGACCACGACCACAATCACTGGCGACTGTCGACTGGTGATTCGTGATTGGTGATTGGCCGGCGGGTTTTTGGAATGTTGTTAATCTGTTAACATAATTTCGCTCTTAACACATTTAACACATTGTTTTGTGCAGCTTCAATCGAGCCGCCGATGTCGACGCAGTCGCGTCTGTTTCCGATTGGTGATTCGCGATCGTGATTCACCCATAATTGGCTTATAATTTATGCATAAGACTCAGACTAACGCAACCCTAAATGACAGACTTTTTCGTTATATTTCGTGTATACAGAACCGCATATTTGTTAATGATTTCAACAAAAAAGCGATCGTCAGCACAATAAAATTAATGATTAGATTTGTTTTTTTTTCTTTCTTGTTGTTTTTATAGCAAATCAGGTTTTGATCAAACATAAATCTTAAGAGCTCATCATTTTGTTTGTCTGTGTTGCACTTGAAATTCCTTTCTAATTGTACATGGCACACGGCAAGGTAACAATGAAAATCAGGTCAACTAACAGTTTATGACTACCGAACGACCTTCAGATCTATTAGGAGATTCATTTGTCACGAAACCTGTCAGCAAAACGGATCTAATTAAGCCTCATGAGTTTAAATATATATTTAATATATGATATTAAATATTTTCAGTGCTAAGAACTTGGAATTTTCCTTGAATATTTGCTTATGGTATTTCTTTTCCCTTTTTGTAAACATTAATAATGGTATATAATCACTATGCTGGGTGCAATTACCCCAATTATTTTCAGAACTGTATGCACTTGATAATAGAAATTTAATTTATTAAATATATTTAATGTATTAAATTATTGTCAGTGCTAAGAGCTTTATATGTATTGCTTTTCCCTTTTTTGGAAATATTAATAATGGGATATTATTACTATGGTGGGTGCAATCAATCAAATTATTTTAAGAACTCTATGCACTTGTTAATACCAATTTTATAAATACTCATACGATTTTTGCATGAAAAAAGGAAAGGTCACCAAATTCCAACAATTGTGTGACCAAACTTGGCGTCATATAATTTCGAATTAATCAAAATTAATCAAAAGACAGTTTGAAATTTCAAGACATGCAAACTGGAGCTTACTTTTCCACCCCCATTATAAAACGCTTTTCATGTTTCGTTATAAAATTACTATTTCTGGTTTATATGTGAGATTAGGCATTAGTCAACAATTGGTAACAATAAAGTTCACTACTTTCGTCATTGTGTACTTAAGCTAGAAAACAATTTAACGACGCAGACGACGGAAGACCGAAGTGGGCAGGTACGAGTTGTCAGGAGACTGGGCGGACACCTGACGCACTGGACCCTGGGAAGCAAAGTTCAAGGCGGGGGCAACACCACCATCGAGAGCCTTGGAAGAGCCGCCCAACTGATCGTACTGTCCTTGAATGGCGCGCTGAGCGTTGGCAGCATCCTCGGGAGTGCGGTACTTGACGAAGTGCACCTCGGGCTTGTTGTTGGTGTTGCTGCGGATGGAGTTCAGTTTGTTTGCCAGATCACCGATATCGGCCTGCTTGTTCAGGACATAGATGGCGGTCTCCTGCTGGGCAGCCTGCTTGGCCAAAGCGAGAGCAGCGTTCTCCAGACCACGGTTCTCGGGTCCCTTGATGAAGACAACACGCAGACCCTTGTTCAGGGAGCTGGAAACCTTGTCCAAAGATTGGGGCTCATCGAAGTCCTGTTCGTTGGCGGTGAAGGTGAAGAACTCCTTCTCCAATTCAGCAGCTGGGGCAGGGGCGTTGTAAGAGACTGGAGCATCAATAGATCCGCCGGACAGACCGCCGTTGCCGATGCTGCCGAGACCACCGAGACCGCCGAGGCCGGAACCACCACCAATGCTGCCGCCGCTGAGGCCGGAATCCAAACCGCCGCCAAGTCCACCCAGCGAGCTACCGCCGCTGATGCTTCCGCTGCCAGGGGCGAAGGATAATCCTTGGTTGGAGTGTCCAACGGGCTGGTAGTTGTAGCCCAGCTTATCGGCGCAGGCAACGGCCACCAAACACATAACCTTTAGTATAAAAAGAAGAGAGGGATGAGGTAATCCTTTTGTGGCCAGCTGCAGGTCCTTTGTACTCACAATAAAAGCACGCATCTTAGTGTAAACGGTTTATTTGGTTCTGCTACTTCGAGTTACGAATTGCTTCTGTCTTCTGCTTGGGCCAATCTTTATTATTTATACAAATCCATCTTCGAGGCTGATAAAATCAAAACTGCCGCCTTGGCGTCGCTTGCATAGAAATCGCTTTGATGCCACTGTGTTTTGCCGCCTACAAAGCTTTTGGCTCTACGATTTTATGGTCGATTTGGAATTTTTGTTGCGTTTCAGCGGGCTGCGACTGCGATTGCGTCTGATTGTTTTAGGTTATTCAAATTTTCGAGTTTTTATTCAATAATTTTTACAAGAATTAATATAAAATTATAAAATTAATATGTGGCGAGCACATTCAAAAAAGGTTTATATGCATATCGATGCTATAAAGATGGGTCATAATTACCTATTAAGAGTAAAAAATACATTTTTCCCAAATATTTCGGCAAGGCTACGAGCTTGTTTTATGTAGGACATCTATATTATTTAAAAGTTGGTCATCGGTATTTCTCTTAACCAAACATAATGATATTGATTTATTGGTATGACATCAGGCCAAATCTTTAGGAGTACATTTAAAGAGGTGTTTGGCCATATTCGATTCACATTAAAAAATTAAAATATTACGTAATAATTATATTTATATGTTAACAATTAATTTGCTGAGTATTTTAATAATACCTATCATCATTTTATTCAGTTTTCTATGTAAGTTTATCAAGATTCTTTCATAACTTTGATTTATAAACCACGATTGCCTTGCTTTGCCATAATCTTATGCTCTGACAAAGTTCCTTGAACAGGACAACCTTATGAATGACGTACTATGAGTTGTAATCCACCCATAAGTATTGCTGCACATATGACGACTATCAATTTGTCAAATTTGAAGTCAGCAACAAACAATTTATGCCAACAATATTATTTAGAATGCAATAAAATGCTCCAATTCTAAAGATAAATTTAGTACATATGACCTAATATAATATAAATAATTCGAAGGTTTCACAATATACCGTGGTCCGTATGAACTCAGATTTTTAATTTGCAAGATATACTCGTGTACATCCATATCAGACAAAAAGTTATAATATTCGAGCCCCGGCGGGCAGGAAAGTCGGTCAAAGTTTAATCTCCCATAGATGGCGGCTGAACTGTGAACGAGTATTACGGAGTCTGTTGCAGTCGGCACTTGTCTTATTATACCCAGGACTATTATATATTTAATTAATATTGGTTTTTAGCATCGGATAAAAAAGAACGCTATTGTGATAATCAATGTCTAGATGCTTCACATTTTTCTACTTTGATGCATCAATTTTTAAAAATATTTATATACGATTAAACCATTTTATCATTTTCAAACGTTATTTTCCAGTCCAATCAGTGAAGCTATCGGATTTACAAATATAGGTTTAGAAAGACATTCCAGCAATGTACGCTTGCGGCGCTGGAAAAAGCCTTTCGGCTACTTTTGAAGTGCCAAGCACTACCAGATATTTTCCAGCGATTTGGTATAACTTGCTTGTGTTTTGTATTCAGCATGCAGAGAACAGAAGCAATGAGCATTAAGAGTCATATTTATACCCTGAACCCATTGAAAATGGGTAACAAGACAGAAGAAAGCATCTCCGATCCCATAAAGTACATATATCCTTTGTCAGCACCAACAACTGAGTCAATCTAGCCATGGTCGTCAGTCTGTTTGTCTGTGTGAACGCATCGATCTCGGAAACTTCAAAAGCTAGAAAAATTCGAAATCTATTTAAATATTTGACGATATTTTGACCCAGTTAAAAGAATCGATAAAATCGTTTTAAAAATCAGTTTTTAGGCATTATTCAGCTGTAAATAAAATAATTTTGATCCCAAAAAAATAAGAATATTAATCCCAAAAAAAAAACATTAATCAATAACTATAAGAGCTAGATACCCCAAATTTGGTATAAAAGTTTCTCAATAGTATAAAAAAATTAGGAATATTTCATCTTTTTAAAATGTCAATTAATAGCTAGTGTGTTGTGATTTGATTTAAACACGACATATTTATGCCCATAACATTTCATAATAATCGGACAATAAACAAGCGACCACGACTGTTCGGGTTAGGGAAGAATCTGGAGCGCAAACTAAGAAAGCTGAAATGCTGGTAAAGGTAAATCGACGCTAGGTTCAAGGTTTTGCCCAGATAGGTAATATCGATTTAAGCATTCTAACTTCTTTTCTGTTTGCTTCTTGATCTCATTTATATACACATGATTTCAAACAGTATTGCATGACCTGTTGGTTTTTTTTTCGTGGTAGCACATAGCCGCGTTGGTTCTTTGTGTTGTGGAACTCTGGAGCTGTTTGGGACCTTCGAATTTTGTATTTGTATTTGTACCCGTTGCCATCGCCTGATTAGCTTAATATTGATTATTAATATTAATTGGCTCAAAGGATCAAAAAATAAGAGTGGGAGATAGGGATAAACGATCTTCCATGCGAATCTATGCTTCCTCTTGCGTTGAAACATAATGTTTTCTTCCTCTTAGAATTACAAATTATAGCCAATATTCTTCACACAACAAACAATAGCAAATATTTTAAAAAACTTCTAATAAATCTCTAAATTTGAAAAGTTATTTTATTCATTTATGTATAACAGTTGATAGAATTATTTAACAAGGAGTCAGTGGAGCTTGCGTAGCTCTAGTCGTACAGTAGGAACTCTTTACAAGCGACGGAAGATAGATGTGGGCAGGTACGAATTCTCGGGGGCCTGGGCGTTCACCTGACGCACTGGAGCCTGGGAAGCAAAGTTCAAGGCGGGGGCAACACCACCATCATGCGACTGAGAAGAGCCGCCCAACTGATCGTATTGGCCTTGAATGGCGCGCTGAGCGTTGGCAGCATCCTCGGGAGTGCGGTACTTGACGAAGTGCACCTCAGGCTTGTTGTTGGTGTTGCTGCGGATGGAGTTCAGTTTGTTGGCCAGATCACCGATATCGGCCTGCTTGTTCAGGACATAGATGGCGGTCTCCTGCTGGGCAGCCTGCTTGGCCAAAGCGAGAGCAGCGTTCTCCAGACCACGGTTTTCGGGTCCCTTGATGAAGACAACACGCAGACCCTTGTTCAGAGAGCTGGAAACCTTGTCCAAAGATTGGGGCTCATCGAAGTCCTGTTCGTTGGCGGTGAAGGTGAAGAACTCCTTCTCCAATTCAGCAGCTGGGGCAGGGGCGTTGTAAGAGACTGGAGCGTTCAGAGCGCCACCGGATAAGCCACCGTTGCCGAGGCCGCCGAGACCGCCGAGACCGCCCAGACCGGAACCACCACCAATGCTGCCACCACCAATGCTGCCACCGCCAATGCTGCCACCACCAATGCTGCCGCCGCCAATGCTGCCGCCGCCAATGCTGCCACCGCCAATGCTGCCACCGCCAAGACCGGAGTCCAAATCGCCAGCACCGCCAGCAAGTCCACCCAGGGAGCCACCGCTCAGACCTCCAATGGAACCGCCTTCATAACCACCCAGGGAACCACCGCCGAGTCCTGCTCCACTTCCGCTGCCAGGAGAGAACGACAATCCTGAGCCGGAGTGTCCGACAGGCTGATAGTTGTAGCCGAGCTTATCGGCGCAGGCCACTGCGACCAGGCACATAACCTTTTTTTAATTTGGGGGAGAAATAGTCCATAAATATATCCTTTGTCTTGACTGGCAGAAACTTACGACGAAGGCGCGCATCTTGGATTATGGTGCTGAGGTTCTCTTAGTTTGAAGCTTGTTTGGTTTCTGTCTAACACCGCGACGGCGGTTATTATTTATACAAATCTGACTTCGAGGCTGTCAGCGTGGCTTCTCGTTAAACACAATGCGGCGGCTTCGCTAAATATCTTTTCCGCATTAAAATAGCTGCGTTCGTCTTTTGTCTCGGCGCCTGGCTCGGCACTTCGGCTTTGCATTAATGTCGTTATAAGGAAAGTGATAAAATCAAAATCGTGAGCATAAAAATGCAATATTTTTGCGCAAAGCGGCAAGAAATATGTTAAGCAAATGCAAAAACAAATGGCTGTAATTTTGGTGTTACTTTATTTGGTCGATTTTATTGTGTGGTCGTCTATAAATTTCATAAAAAAAAAACAATAAGCAGTCCAGCGTCATTGGCGAAATAAGCTGGAAACACAATTATTCTAGCGCAAACGCAGGCGACGCAGAATGTTGGCTGGCAGATAGGAACCGCTGGGCGCGCTTGGAGCCACATAGCTGCCGCCGCCTCCTCCACCTGAAAGTCCGACTGGAGCACGAGATGCAAAGTTGATGGCCGGGGCAACTCCGCCGTTGATGTTCTGGCTGGTACCACCCAGAGAATCGTACTGCGACTGAATGGCGCGCTGGGCGTTGGCAGCGTCCTCGGGAGTGCGGTACTTGACGAAGTGCACCTCGGGCCTGGCGTTGGCGTTTTGGCGCGCAGCATTGAACTTGTTGGCCAGATCGCCGATGTCGGTCTGCTTGTTCAGGACATAGATGGCGGTCTGTTGCTCGGCAGCCTGCTTGGCCAGGGCCAGAGCGGCGTTCTCCAGGCCACGGTTCTCGGGACCCTTGATGAAGACAACACGCAGACCCCTGTTAACGCTGTTGGCGACTCTTTCGCTGCCGGCAGGATCGTTGAAGTCCTCCTCATTGGCCTCGAATGTGTAGAATTCCTTGTTAAGTCCACCGGATGGAGCGTAGGATGAGCTGGGGCTGCTCTCGGCGCCACTGTAGCTGGGCTCGTCGTATGCAACGCTCGGGATGCTGTTGGTGGCAGAGCCGGTCTCAAGTCCTTGTCCATAGTTGTACTGGGCGCATGCGGCGCCAAACAGGCAGAGAACGACGAGGAAACGCATTGTGAACTGGAGAGAAGATGTGTGTACTTATCGGCCAATGGCTAAGACTGAATCCTGATGCTGCGCAGCTGGCCTTTTATACACCGCCCTAGTAGCGGGATCGCGCTTAGAACAATAGCTGGGTTCTTAACGGGCACATAATTCAACTAGTCTCGTATGCAAAATAGTGCGCTTATGAAGTGATTATGCAAAACTATCCAACTAGACAGGCTCTTCAACTTTCCGAGTTAGGGAACACGGGAACGGGGTACCGGTTCTTGATGCTAGTTTTCGCCTCTACCTCATCGGAATTTAGGTTCTACAGAGAAATTACTTAAGAATTACCGAACTTGTTCTTAAAACTATAACCGTATCCAATTAAGGCATAGCTATCGTAAATGGCAAATTTAATACCGTCCATTTTAGCATCCGCGTTCACACCAAAATAAACAGCAACAAAAATAAATAAATAATGAATACATTTGGGAAAGGTAGAACATTGGCAAAACCTTTTGAATTAGCCGCTCAGCTTAAGTTATGCATGACGACACATCGTTTTATTTTTAAACTCACCATTTTACCGGAAGAAATGTTCTGTGGCGAAATGATCTGTGAATGGAGCAAGAATGTTTGGCTAGGTAAGCATCTCGGTTATTGCCCTGACTCAATACTTGTTTAAATATCGTCATTTTAAAACTAGTTCCTTTTAGAACACTTCTGATGCATTTATAATTATCTAAAAGATACATAAAGTATCGGGAAGATTCACCAGTTACTGGAAGATACGATAATATAATTTTATCATGTACATGGTGTACTCGTCATGTTTAATGAATTAATATTTTTTTAAACTGATTTTTTGATACTTTGCCTTAGAATGTATCTGTGCAATAAGGGGCTTGATTAAATTAACATTATTGATTAAGTCTTAGACGTTGTTTTCAAATTAATTGCTGAGTTACATGCAACCAAGTCTCCGAAGCTATTTTCTGCAAAGCCTTCTTCCAAGTATATTAGGATAAGTAGACAGGCAGACCACATCCTTGGTAGACTGCTGTTGAAGTAGGTCACCCAACTTGGGATATTCAAGGCCTTTTTCCCGCTTGCGGATGAAACAAGGTGCCCTACAACCTTGGCTTACAAGACAGGTTGCTGCTTGCCCTTAAGACCCACGGCATCTCCATTCACTTTATGGTAGACTTTGGCATTGTAAGAATTAACAATTTGCATTTGCAATTCACAGAATGAGTGAAATAATTTATATACAACATAAAAACGAAGCCAACGGATAGTGTTGGCAGACAGGTACGTTAGCTTTTCCGGCTATTGTCCCGAATTAGGAGTGGTGCTTGAGAAGCAAAGAAAGCAAAGGGGCTACACCAGCACGCTGATGGAACGATTTCCCACCCATCTGATAATACTGTCCGTGAATGGTACGCTAAGCGTTGGCAGCATCAGGGTTACTGTACTTAACGAAGGACTCCTCAGGCTTGTTGTAGAGCCTTCTTAACTGAGTTGTACACCTTCTCGAAGACTTGTGCTAATCGAAGTCCCCTAATTTGGCGGAAAAGGTATGGAACCAAGCAGAAGATGATTATGGCATGCAATTTTGGTGGAGTATGTTTGGAAAGATATTCTATTTATCTTTATTACAATAAATTGTAGATAATGGAAATAATAAGAGAGACAAGCCCCATATAGTGGATGCCTATAAAGCTGCAAAGGTTTTTTTCAGTGTGAAGAATTATTATGTCATTTATGATTTAAAAACAGCGAAAAAGGATCGCAGACTTTGTTTTAATTGCAATCAGTCAAAGCAATTGGCAAATTAATGGCGTCAAGTAATTTATTAAACTTCCAATTATCAAAATATCTCATTTAGTGCTGACATCGCGCTGCAAGCTGAGCGGTTAATTAGCTAATCGATCGAAAAGATGTCATTTATTTTTAGAGATGAAGTCGTCGTCATTTCCGACGCCATTCAAACTCCACCATCATTGCCGACTGCGGAAGGTCGCTTCCCCCGCAACATTAGCATAAAGCAGAGCACAAAGCCGTTGAGCCGCAACGAAGCAATATAAATTTCGCGGATCGTTAAAATATGTTTTGTTATAATGCGACCCATCATTTGCATTTTTTGCTTGATTTTCGAGTGCTTTTGGGTAACACTTCGGATCCCGTGCTGATTGCACATATGTATGCATATGAAATGGGCAAGTGTATCGCATCGATTTAAGTTTACGATCTATTCGCCAGTCAGCCAACAACTAACTCATTAAAGCTCGATTTATACTGATTATAGAGATAAACAGAAACATTTCGTCAAGGCTTTTTAAGAAGAAGAAACGGCAGTGATTAATAATGAGAATTATTTTGAGATGCAGAATATTTTATAGTGCCGGTGTCGGTGTCGGTGACGGTGACGGCAACGTTATCAAGATCTTCTTCTCCGGCCAGGTAAGGAACCATAAACTCTTAGAGTGGCTGTCCAATCAAGCGGTTCTATTGCATATTAACTAGCCGCCAGTCGAGAGGAACTCTTGCATAATTTGACCATTTTATTCAAGTGTTTTGCATAACGGTAAATGATCCACATAGGCACCTGCATAAAAACCAAGAAGCCATCTGCTAACGCTTCAGATTCAGCAGACAACTCAGACGGTCTAAACATGCGACACTTTTCCGTTCTTCTGTGCTGTTGCCTCGCGGCTTTGGCCAGCGCCGACAAACTTGGCTACAATTATCAGCCGGTGGCTCACTCGGGCTCTGGACTTTCATTTGCGCCTAGCGGCGCCGCTAGCAATGTGTCGCCCTCGTATGCATCTGGACCTGGTCCCGCTTTAGATTCCACTAACGCAGGCCTCGCCCAGCCTTCAAGTGTGGAGCCCAGCTACCAGCCAAGCGGGTCCAGTGCTGAACCATCAGCTGAAGCTCCGAACTATGCCGCAGCACAGCCCGAGCTGCAAAAGGAATTTTTCACCTACACAGCAAACGAAGAGGACTTCCAAGAACCAGCTGGATCTGAGAAAGTTTCAGGCTCGGTGAACAAAGCTCTGCGCGTTGTCTTTATCAAGGGACCTGAGAGCAGTGGCCTGGAGCAAGCTGCTCAGGCCCTGGCCAAGCAGGCCGGCCAGCAAGATACTGCCATCTATGTCCTGAATAACCAGGCCGACATTGGTGATCTGGCCAACAAACTCAATGCCATCCGTAGCAACACCAACAACAAGCCCGAGGTGCATTTCGTCAAGTACCGTACCCCTGAGGATGCTGCCAACGCTCAGCAGGCCATTCAAGGACAGTACGATCAGCTGGGTGGATCAGCCTCCCATCAGGATGGTGGTGTCGCCCCCGTTCTTGACTTTGCATCCAAGGGACCAGCGCCAGCTGCCGCTCCAGAGGCTTCTGCACCAGCGCCACAGGCGGCTGAAACCGAAGCTACGGAGCCTGTTTCCTCATATGTTCCACCCGTGACTCCGGGTAGCACCTATTTGCCAGCAAACATTCTGCGCCGTTTCCGTTTCTAAGATCTTCGGACTTAGACTTTGAACTGTTCTTGTTATTGTTACCGAATATCTTTGTTATTGTTGACTTATTGTTTTGAAAATAAAATTTGTGATTTAAAATATGTACACACTGAATACCCTTTACTAAAGAAAATTTCTAAAAATGCGTATAGAAAATAACACTCAATGCAAATCTAGAAATAAATATTTACAAATTACACACATTGGGAATTTGTAAAAACTTTCATAACATTGTCTGAAAACGTGGGATACGATACAGAAACTAGTTTAATAGCTATTATATTATAAATTTGATTAAATAATGTATTCTTTCATTTTATAAATAAGTGTATGTATATTTTTAAAATGCCGAATTTTCTACAGTATGTGATGTATGCGCACGGTAATTGGCAATATCTGGAAGATTGCTGAAATTTTTTACAACACGATCGGTAACAAACAGACTTAGGAAAATGGGAATAAACTTTAAGACAATTCAAGCCTTGGAATGGAATTTTAAGCCTGTGTACAGAGTATTTGTCGGCCGATAACTTTTGATATTTCTGTTTTGAATTAGATAAAAATTTGGTTTATTTTTAGACAGAGCATTTTTTCGCTTAGGAATTTGGTTTTATTAAAATGACTCGAATTTGAATTAGGAAACGGATTTGGGTTTTTTTGTTTGACAAACGGGTTCAGCAGGTTGAATTAGGATGCCGACCTATTAAAGAAAATGTACAAATTATAAATACAAGTTCTACGACAGCATATTATGTTTCGGGCACGTTTTTGAATGTCGCCACATACAAATGTACATAAATGTTGTTGATTTAGATCAACATATATGTATGTATGTGAGATCAACCCACGAGTTTCCCAAATTGATTTCGTTTGAGTTGTCTGACAAATTGCATTGAGCTAAACCAAACAATGCCCAAAACCGTGGCGCCGAGCAATTTAATATTATTTAGCTCGCATATTGGACTAAAAAATACAAATATTTGTGGCCATTAGCCAGAGTTTCACTTTCAATCGGTTCGGGTTCGATTTGCATAACAAAATGAGCGAACAAAAGAATTTGGCTACCGAACAGCCAAACAATTTGGAGCTGCTTCTGCTTCTGCTGCTGCTGATGCTACTGCTGATGCTGCTGCTGCTGCTGCTGCCAGCGTAGTCTCTGTCGCCGTCGACAGCGCTGCTAGCGTCAATATGTGTTGGCTAATTTGCATAAAAATTTTCTTTTCAAGCCGAAGTTCATCAAATGTTTGTCAACGCCGCAGCCACAGCTGACGCTCAGTTCAGGCAATTATCAAAGCCGCCTTAAATAAAAAAAAAACATGTTCGACAACATAATGGGACAGGCCTTATCTTGATCTCCAGCATAGTTTTCAAACGCTTATTCTGAGAGTGACATTCATCTTGGTATAAAAATGGCACCTCACCTCTTGACCACATCATTCTGTGCTCGCAGCTCCGACTAGAACTAGAACCCCAAAGATGCGCGCATTCATCGTCTTGTGCCTTGTGGCTGTTGCCTGTGCCGATAAACTTGGCTACAACTACCAGCCGGTAGGACACTCCAGCTCAGGACTGTCGTTCGCTCCTGGCAGCGGAAGTGTTAGCTCTGGAAGTCTCGGAGTTGGCTCCCTTGGAGGATCCAGCTCAGGCTCCCTGGGTGTTGGCTCTCTGGGTGGACTCGGTGGTGGACTTGGCGGCATTTCTGGAGCCTTGGAGAACGTTGATATTGATGGCTCCGGACTGAGCAGCTCAGGACTTGGCGTCTCTGGACTAGGCAGCTCTGGACTGGGTAGCTCTGGATTGGGCGGCTCTGGATTGAATGGACCCGTCAGTTACAACGCTGCGCCATCCTCAGAGCTTAACAAGGAATTCTACACGTTCTCTGCCAACGAAGAAGATTTCGATGAGCCACAAGCTTTGGAGCGTGTTTCAAGTTCCGTCAACAAGGGTCTTCGCGTTGTCTTCATCAAGGGACCCGAGAACCGTGGTCTGGAGAACGCTGCTTTGGCTCTGGCCAAGCAGGCTGCCGAGCAACAGACCGCCATCTATGTCCTGAACAAGCAGGCCGATATCGGTGATCTGGCCAATAAACTGAACGCCATCCGCAGCAACACCAACAACAAGCCTGAGGTGCACTTCGTCAAGTACCGCACCCCTGAGGATGCTGCCAATGCACAGCGCGCCATCCAGTCGCAGTACGATCAGCTGGGAGGCACTAGCCAGTCTCACAATGGAGGTGTGGCCAATGCTCTGAACTTCGCCTCGGCTCCACAGTTCCGTCAGCAGAATGCTCAAATACCAGAGAACTCTTACCTGCCCTCATCTGTCCTCCGTCGTCTGCGTTACCGTATCTAAGTATACTTTATCCGCTGTTTTGTTGAGCCTCTGTTATCTATTGATTTGTCAAATATTTCAAATACACCTATTTAAAATGTATCCAACATATGTTTCTTATCTCCGACCTCATATAAAAGTCTGTCTAACGATAGAGTCATTTCTTTTTTATCCAAGGCAGTTAATATCATTTCCATGTAACACTGTCCAACAAAATGGCGGCATTCGATGTTCACTGTGAGCCATAAAAATTCCAGCGCTGTGACAATATCATCGTCGCCAAGTGGAAACCAATAAAAATTAACATTTTGTCATTTCGTATGTACGTCTATTGTACAAGAGGCGCAAAACGAAATTTTTGGATAATAATTAAAATGTTAATCTGCGTGAAGTAAAAGGTTAGACAAACTATTGGCACCCAAATTTATGGCAACTGCAAGACGGAACTATCACGACTAGGCCAGTCAAAGCCAGTTCACTGCATTATGTATGAGTAAAAACAGAGCGATCGCATGAATGGCCAATAACAAGCCGAGACAATAGATGCTATATTCAAGAGCACCCACTATCCTCTATTTGCATAAATATAAATAAAAAACCACATCATTTTATTAACAGGTATCATTAAAGACGAGCCTGCATGAGGAAAGAATTCAATTGACAATTGAGCATACATTTTATATATGTATCTTATAAGTGTGATTTTTAATAATATATATATAATTAATATACACAAAGAAAAGATCGAAAAAAAAATTTATAAAAAAAAATTAAATAGAATATGAGAATGAATAGGACTTTCAAAAATGATTTATATTTTTATTTTCTTTTGATTGTTTTTTGAACTGAAATGCCGTCAAATGCATGTTCGGGAAGCTCGAATCATTGGATTGAGCCTACGAGGAGACGGAAATGGGCCTTGTTTATGACTAAATTTTTCATTTAACAAGCCCAGACGGGGGCGAAGTCATGTCGGGAAATGCTCGTTTATTATAAACCTGTTATAATTTATAATAATATTATATAAATACTCTAGATAAGTTGGACTTTAGCAACCCAGAGCATAATCTAAAAAGTGACTAAAATATTAACAATGTTTGTAAAACTTCGTCAGTCAGACGTAGTTAAAACGACTACAAACTTATGCATTCTTTTTGCGAACCAAAAAATATATCAGCATTTTTTTTATTTTAAAATGGCAATAGATAATCATTTAAATTTTAATGGTTTTTAAATGTCCACTTGTTATTATGTTTATGTTTATTATTGTTAATAATATTTAAGTGTCATTGTTAGCTAAATTAATAGCAAAATTATATTAAAAGAGTTTTTTAAATTATTAATTTATTAATTATTAATCCAAAATGCACACTTCAAGGTGCTAATTTGGCAAATTCCACCCGCATGTGTGGAAAAATCGCGAAAAAAGTTTTTATGAAATTTTTTTATGCCGTCCGATCGGTCCGGGGTATACCCGCCTGTATACTATATAGACAAAGGTCAAAATGTCCCACTGCCTATTTCCCACTAATTTTGAAATCTCTACATTAGAACTTAATAAATATGTTTTTCCGCGATTTGGAAAAATTCATTAGGAACAATAGTAAATTGGCGGAAAACGGTTGTATGAAAGTTTTTTGTTTACCGTCCGATCGGTATCAAACTCATTTTTAAAGATCTTTTAGAGAATTTATTTGATACGTACCGTGGCAAAACCCGCTAATAATAAATAAGGGTATAATGGTTTTGTGCACATGTATGTTGTAGAAAGAAGGTGTAAAAGGACGAACGATAACTTGCCCCTTTTCCATGAGATCGATAAAAGTCAATATCGACAGCCTGTTCTGGATCATATATTTATAAAAAAAAACACATTTTCCATAATGTGAGGCTAAGGGAAGAAAGGTAATTCAGGGGCAGGTTGGGTTTAAACACTTCTTAAATTCAAAAGCCAATAACATTAAGATAAGACCAATTATTTTGTCTATAAAAATAAATGTTGTTTTTATTTTCAATTTCAATTTAATTAAGATTCAAGCTATGGTTGCGTCGATGTTGGGTATTTGCGTCACGTAAGTAAATCAAATACTGGATTAACTAATAAAAGTAGTTCGATGTTTTAATTTCTTGCCTGGAATTCCAGAGGCCAGTTCGCCCTTGTAAGAGACGGAGGTCATCTAAAATTGGCAAATGTGGTGCAGTAAATGGCAAAAGATACAGGTAAACATGCGAATTGGGGACTAGTAAAATGGTAAAAAATGCTGCGAAATAAAAACGAAAACAGCTGAACAAAAAATAAAAAGTGAGCAGCGAATTGAAATTGGCAAATAGCGCTTAATGTGGTGCACAAATTAAAGATGACCAATAAGAAACGATATCGTAAATTGATTGTGGTGCAAAAAGACGCAGCATTTCCAAAACGATTTCATATCGCATAAAAAGCGTGGGTGTTAAAGCAACCAACAGACTTCAGCTTGATACGTTCAATAGTTCGGAAGTATTATCTTAAAAATATATACAAAATGCGCGTCCTTATTGTGAGTATTGACAGGATCAGCAAAATAACAATTAATATACTCAAATAACACGATTAACATTGCTTTCATAGACCATTTGCCTGCTCGCCGTAGTCTACGGTGAGAGACTGGGATACAACTACCAGCCCGTGGACCAGCCCATCTCCGGCTTGTCCTACACGTCCGGTGCTCTTGGCCAGGACCAAGCTGCATATATTCCACCTGCGGAAACTGGACCTATTGAAACAGCACCCGCTGAGCAGGCGTACCAAGCCCCTGCTGAGCTGCTCAAAGAGTTCTACACCTACACAGCCGACGAGCGCGATTTCCACGAGCCCATCAACCAAGATCAGCTATCAAATAATCTTCGCAAGAACCTGCGCGTTGTATTCATCAAGGGACCCGAATACAGTGGTGTGCAAGATGCTGCATTGGCGCTGTCCAAGCAGGCAGCTGAACAACAAACCGCAATTTATGTGCTGAACAAGCAGGCCGATATCAATGATCTTGGCAACAAGCTTAACAACATTCGCTCCAACACCTACCAGAAGCCGCAGGTGCACTTCGTCAAGTACCGCACCCATGAAGATGCTATCAATGCTCAGCGCGCCATTCAGGGTCAGTACGATCAGCTGGGCGGTGTCTCCACTCACCAGGATGGCGGCGTCGCATCCGTGCTGAACTTTGCCTCCCGCGGACCCGCTCCAGCAGGTCCAGCTGTGCACGAGCCCCTTAACTCGTATCTGCCCTCATCGGTGCTGCGCACTCGCCTTTAGGAGAAGTCTTTGGGAGCAGCTAGCTATACCTCCAGACTGACCATAACTGATTAACCACGCATATTTTAGACCATTGTAAATAATTTTTGTTTAGTTCAAATTGCAAACTTTTAAATAAATAATAATAATCATAATGAAATATTGTTAAAACTTTGAAATTTGCACAACTTTTTGGCAAAGCAAATGTTGTAATATGTTAACAGGGTAACATTGAACTATTTACCTTTTGCGGCGAGCCTCTCCATACTTGGCCTGACAGTCTGCAAGCGAATATTATAAAACGCTCTTCGGATTGTGGACTGCTTGACAAATGATCGTTGGTTTCTGTTGCGCCTACAGCATGCGGCAAATTGTGGTAAGGCAGACTTGGAACGATGAGATTGGAGCCCTGTTTAACCAATATTATTCGTAGTTTTTAGCTTTCTTAGCTTTATGCTCGGCGGAGCTGGGCTACCATTACCAGCCAAATTCTCCAGCTATTGGCTATGAAGAGGCATTAGACAACCATCAAATCGCGGACCATTATGAAGACCATGCAGATTATCAGAAGCATTTCTACGCATTTGAAGCACCCTACGACCCCGTCGATGAGTCTGAGCTGATAGAGCACAAGATATCGGCGATCGCAAAGAAAAACTTACAGGTGGTGTTCATCAAGGCGCCCGAGAACAAGGCCGTCGATACCGCCCTCCATGCACTGGCCAAGCAAACCAACGAGGATAAAACTGCCATCTATGTGCTGAACAAGCAAACGGATCCCCATGAATTGGCAAGCAAACTGAGCGTCCTGCAGACGCAACATACACACAAGCCACAAGTTCATTTTGTCAAATACAGGACGGAGGAGGAGGCTTTGCAGGCGCAGCAGCACATTCAGGCGCAGTACGGCGGAGCCACGTCTCAGTCATTGCAGTCCTTGCCGCAGCCATCATTGGGTTACTCGCCGGCCACGGAGCCGAACCCGCAGGCCTACTATCCGGACAAGCAACCATTGCCAACGCACGGCTACTATCCCCAAGAGCTATCAGCTGTGGCGCCCGAACCGCATCCAACCTATCTTCCCCCCTTGGCCAACTATGGCAGTTTGCCACAGCCCTACGAAGGTGGTGCAGATCAGGGTCGCCTTGATTTGCCTCCACTGCCTTTACCAGAGCAGCAGCTGGCTCCTGGTCCCTATGACTTGGATGCACGCACTGCAAGATCACGACGCATCGATTTTCGAGTCAATGAAAGACACCGCTCAGACAGTCGCATGGTGTTTCCCACTGGGACGTCATCTAAAACGTATCTGCCAGCTATCTCAAGTAGCTATCTGCCACCTCAGAAGCGAAGAAGACGCGCCCACTTCTAAAAAAATCAGATTAAGACATTTAAATAGTAGCACCATAAGACTGTCAAATACATATGTTTCAAGCTTTTAAGACAATAAACATCCCAATATCTCTACAGATATTTCTGTTTTTTCCGAGAATATGTAGAGGAGCTTAGAAGAGGAGTCGTTAATTACGCTAAGCTGATTATCGGTTAAAATCTAGAGCGAGGCTTGACAGCTTATTGAATACAAAACCAAAACACGAAAATGACGTGTAAATTAACCCAAACAACAGACATAAAACTCGATCATAAAATCGGATTCAAGTGAAAGTATAATACAATAGTGTGCTGCTGGGGCAGGGGCGGCAGGGGTAAAGTGTGTGTTGGAATCAAAACAAATGTATCCGTGTATGGCAGCGGGCAAAAATCGCATATGAAAATAATTTGATAACTAATTCAAATTGGGAGCTCATTTGTAAATTTTATGCGAATTAATTCAAGTTCAAGCCGAGCTCAGGTCAAACTCACATGAGTTTTTGGCCCGGCTTTGTCTCCGGCAAGCCACCAAATTTGCATTTCCAAATTGAACGACATTAACATGGATAATCGGATCAGGCAAATACAACAACCAGAGCACAAAAGTTTGCAAAAATCTTTTAAAAATCCATAAAAAAAATCAAAATCCAAAAGCAGAAAAAAAGACACTGCAAACAAAGTCAACGCAGCTGAAATCTCAGTTTTGTTGTTTGTGTCGTATATAAGGATGGTTTTGTTGCTGTGACTAGATTATAATCGAGCTGAGCTTCAAGCGCTAAAAATCAGCCGCTGCAGGCCACAAAGCGAAACCCGAACCGTGGAACATTCAAAGCTCCATCTAACATGCGCGCCCTAATGGTAAGATAAAACTTTTCCAACGTGCAACGCGGTGTGTTTGCACTCCGGCTGATGAAATTTCCACTTCTCACTTGCCACAGAGCCTTTGGCTGTTCCTCTGCACCAGCCATGCCTTGGACCTGAACAACGCCTACCTGCCAACCAACAATGAATACTCACCCCGTCCCCTTGTCACGGAGTATTTCAGCTACAGTGCACCGCCCGAGGATGATCAGAGCTTGCCCCTGCAAGCAGCTCGCCAGCTTGCCACAGCACTCACAGCCCCCCAGCAGGTTGTTTTCATACGCACGCCGGAGACAAATCTGTTCACGCTGACAGCCAAGCGGCTGGCGGCGCGCAAAGCCTTGGATATCTACGTGCTCCAGCGGCAAATGGATGCGGCCGCACTGGCTGAACAAAAGGCGGCCATTGAGCAGCAGGCTGGTCACAGGCCAACAGTTCACTTTGTCAAATATCGCACGCCCGTCGATGTAAGTCGGGCTCTGATCAGCCTGCGGGCCAATTACGATCAGCTGCCGGGCCGAAGCTATAGCCATGCCGTGGAAACCGCAAATGTCATTCACCTCAACCCACCGCACCTCAACATAGCACAGCCAGATCCAGTGGTGTTCAAGATCCTGCCCAAAGATGCCGCAGAGTACGAGACTGATGAGGAGGCGGATGAACTGGAGGCCGCCAAGCTGCAGACGCTCTTCCGGCCATATTTGCCGCCAGGACAGCGGCGTTAAGTTTAGTATAAAAATGACCAGTGCCAAAGACTGTTAAATATAAATACTTAGAAATAAATAGAAAATAAAGGCAATCAGTTTTTGCAATGTTGTTGTTTCTCTTCTTTTGTTCGGGCTGGATAATCAAAGGAGACGGTATTTCTTCAATATCCTAAAGAAAACTCAATTTCGGTTACACATTTTAAATTACATTGTTTTTGTCAATTTGAATATTTTAGAAAAGTTATTTAATCAAATCTTAACTGTTTAAAGATTTTTAATTAGTTTTGCTTTATAATTTATCTTAAAAGTAAAAAGTTAACATTTTAATGCTAATTATTGTCTTCTACCTAATTAAAATGTTTGCTATTCAGTTTCAATGTCATTATATTTTTGTCAAAATTGAGCACTTCGAATAGCTTGCGCCGAGAGTTGCCTTTAATTTGTTGCGTTACATGAAACATAATTTTTGATTTTAATCAAAGCAAGAAGTTACATCAATTTTTGGAGTAGCACACTTAATGCTCTTCGGGCATATTTATATTTATATTGATTTTTAAATTTATAATGTTTTTAAATGTTATGTGCACTGTCTTATATCAATGTTATCTGTGATGTTATCAATGTCACCAAAGTGTATTGCTAGGGTATACAGATGTTTGGTAATAGAGACGACAGAGCTGGCCCAGGCCTGACCGCAGTGTTATGAATAATTAATGACTTGGCTGACAAGTCGAAACATTTCACTTTTGAGCTTGCGTTGAGCCATCCGCACTGCTTCGGATTATCTTTAAGATATCTCTAAGATAATCATGAAGGTGGTGCTACTCAGGCCAGGCCAGGCCCCGCGATCTGTGTCCATGCTAACATTTTCTTAAGCAATGTGTCTGCTGCTACTGCTGCTGCTGTCGACGTTGTCGCTGGAAAACTTTTTAATGAGGTATGCGCGGAGCTGAGGGGGGAGGGGGGTTGCCCAGCTACTTGTCCCGCCAGCTACCGCGCTATCCATCCGTTAAGCTTAACGACAAGCGCTGCTTTAAGAATGTTTCAACTGAATTATGGCAGGGCCGGCACTGACGATGACACTCGGGCTGACATCATGTTGCTTTGCAAATTGTTTTAGTGTCAGAGGTCAAACACACACCGCCATGTGGCACACTGAAGTGCAGTCGTAAAAAAGGTATCCCGACACTACAAATCTGTTGAGCAAGTTTTAGTTTGAGCATTTTTGAGCAACATGAGAAGCGGTACCTAAGAGAACGTAGCTCGTTAGCGGCGCCTGCCAAAAAGTTTGCCAGTCACGTCAAAGCTGCCAGGTTTTTGCCGCTCTTTGGGAAACGTTGCAGGTACGAGTACCTGCCAGCTGCTTTAATCCTGGCTGGCGGGCGGCTCATGACTTGAAATTCTTGCTGCAAAATATCAACACAGGTGTGTCCAAGGTCCAAGCACAGCGCCAGCTTCTCAAATTCGCTCTCAACTTTGCGTGCTCCAAATCTTGTTACCCAAGTCTTTTTGCCTCTTGTTTTGCTTACCGCGACCACATTAGGCGCGTTTCGTTTCTTCTAGACTCACACTTCACTTTTTGCTGTAGGCAACTAGCCAGTGTGGAATTTTATAATAATGCCCAGCATGACGATAGAGTTTTAAACAAAATAAATATATGAATTTGATTACTTTAGTTCACTTTTTACTCTAAAATAAGACCCTACATATACGATATGTCGAATTCAATAAAATTACAATAGAATATACATTTCACCTAAACAAGTATAATATTTTTGATAATTCTCTTATTTTAATTGATGCTTGATAATCTAAAATAAAATACAACTGCAACAAAATTAATTACTTATTAATTACTATTTCTTATCTCTATATTTGCATAATTAATTTTAAATGGGTATTTTATGGGATTTTCAAATTTAAAGTAGATCAAGTTTAATTTTTAAACATCGATAACTTTATCTGTTTCCAGTAAATCTATAAGAATCGATTTGCAGGTTAGCTATATATGATATCACGGATGGTATACGAGTTAGAATTACAAACTTTTATATTCACGTTTGATATACACGGAGCTCAGGCCCGTAAACATAAAACGACTTTAAGAACCGAAATTATTTACGATTGCAATTCCGATTGTGGGCGAAGAAGAAGCACAGCCAGTGCATGGATTGCGTGCTGTTTTTTGGGTACACTATTTAGTTTGTGTATTGTTTATAAAAATAAAAGGAACGGCTTCTGGGCTCTGGTTACAGGGTACCTTTTAGTCGCGTCTTACCAACTGGAGACCTCTTACAAGAGTAAGTTTTGTATTGTTTTTGGTATCCATGAATTTCAAAATGCTTAAATTAGTCAAGAAACTTTATTAGCCGCCTGGGCATAATGTATTGAGGCATTCTGCAGCAAAGATGGGTGGATGGAAGCAAAACTTTCGGGAAAGTATGAAAATTATAATTACTAGCTTAGGCAGCGCTTGGGATATTATCAGTCAAAATCGGTAGCTGTTTATTTGTTCACAATAAGCTGCGCTACTTTGGAGTGGGGCGTCTTTTAGGGTTTGGTTTTTTGTCCGGCTTGAAGCAACAAAAAAACATTGGGATTGGGGAATGAGACAGAATGAGACAAAGCGGCCCATGCATATTTATATGTGTCGTAAAGTGCATTTAAATCAAAATGCGACGGCGTTGAAGCCAAGATAAACGGCCGCAGATGCTGACTGGGCCTACTAGGCGTCTTGACTTAGTTGTATTTAAATGCGTGCGGCTTTTTAATGACTTTGGCATGGCATAAATAACAAATTAATATCGCATGCGCTGCCAAGGTCACAGATACCAGCTACCAATCGCTTTCATTGGGAGCTGGGGGTGGGGATCAGTCGCTATGGAGCTGCACTCGACTGCGCCTATAAAAGCCGCTGCCTCTTCGATTCCCAGCATTAGTCTCACCTCTTAGCTTCAGCCGTGTGGTAGCCCAAACAACAACAACAAACAAAACAAACAATGCGTGCATTTATTGTAAGTCTTAGAGTGCTACCGATCGATACCAGCTCCAATGCTAATCCCACCCACCTCCATAGCTGATGTGCCTGTGGGCAGCCGTTTGTGGCGCCGACCAGTTGGGCTACAACTATCAACCGGTCGCCCAAGCGGATGAGGGCCTCTCTTTTGTTCCAGTCGCTGCTGCGCCTGCCACGCAGCAACAGCATGGAGAGGCTGAGCTCTCGCTGCCCATTGCGGCGCCAGCTGCTGCTCCGGTTCCGAATGCCATCATTCCACAGGCGGCTCCTCTGGTCGAAGAGTTCCAGAAGGAGTTCTATACCTATGCCGCGCCCGAGGACCAGTTTGACGACGGCATCAATAATCAGCAAATCGCCGACTCGTTAAAAAAAAATCTACGCATTGTGTTCATTCGCACGCCCGAGAATCGCGGCTTCGAGCGCGCCGCCCTGCAGCTGGCCAAGCAATCTGCCCAGCAGGAAACCGCAATTTATGTGCTCAGCAAACAGGCTGATGTTGCCAATCTGGCTAAGCAGCTCAACGCGCTTAAGTCGAGCTCCTCCAGCAAGCCCGAGGTGCACTTTGTCAAATATCGCACACCGCAAGATGCGGCCAATGCCCAACTGGCCATCCAGAACCAGTACAATCAATTACCCGGTGCCTCACGCATCTCCAACGAAGGCCGCGCTCCAGTTTTGAATTTTGCCTCGCAGGCGCCGGCCGCCCCCGTGAGCGCAGCCCGCTTGCCCAGCTCTGAGTACCTGTCGGCCAATGTGGCGTCTGGACAGGATTATCTGCCGCCCGCTCTGCGCCGCTTTCGCGTCAAGTGAGCTTTGGCCATAACACACATCCATACAGCCGTACACTCGGCCGCCATCAAGCCAACTACTTAGTTTTGTAAATACCAATACAGGAATAAACATTTTAAGCTGACACATTTTCATCTCTGCTCAATTGCTCGATGCAGCTGAAAGCTGCTTTCCAGCCAACTCTCATTGCCGCCTAATTGGGCGTCCCCATGTATTCCCCTGCCTTCGCTCTGCCCCAATGCCAATGCCATTTGCCTGGTTAGCTCGTTTTATGTGTGATTTGTTTTCCAAAGCAAATCCTGTCCGCCGGCGACGGCGTCGGCGTCTGGTTGTGCAGCCGTGCGTTGTCCTTTCACAGTTAATCCTTGAAATAATAGCATGGATAAAGTGGCAGGCATGTCATAAAGTCCTGCAACAAGTTGAACCAACCCCAACCCCAAACACAAACACACACACAATCACACATACAGAGATACGCGCACAGAGACAGCTACGTTCACATATGCACAACGGTTTAACCAGCCGCCATTTGTAATTGGAGTTATTAGAATCGAAACGAAGCTGCTCTACAATGGCCGGAACCCAAGCTCGTTGCCAGCTGTGGTCGAAACAAGTGGCAACGTCCTGTGGCACCTGTGGACGAACCTGAGTTCTGGCTGCTGATTTGCCCAGGCGAATGGGCGTGTGTGTGTGTGCTTGTCTGTGCCACTGTGTGTGTGTATGTGTGTGTGTGTGTTTGCCTTGATGGCTTCCTGCTTCCGCAGTAGGCAAACTCATCATGTGAAAAGCCGCACCCAAATGCCCTTCTGCAAACCCCAACCCAACCCCCATCCGCTGCTTAGACAACTATGCACTGGATTTGGAACGTTGTTGAGTGGAGTCCTTAAATTTCACTTAGATGTAACATAAAACTGGCATAAACGCAACTCAACGGCGCATGAATTCATGGCCATGACGGCAGCTGGTTCAATGTATGTGTCTTGTGTGTGTGTGTCTGTGTGTGTGTGTGTGTACGTGTGCAAAAATCACACGCTTATCAGCAGTCAAGTGCAAGCTGAATTCGCCTGCTTGCCGTGCAAGTACAGTGCTAAATCGCTAAAGCGTAACGCCAACGACAATATGGCACGTACCCGGGGCCAGTGTTAAGCAGAACAGCATCAGCAGCAGCAGCAGGGGCGTGGCAATGACAGGCCAAGCATAAAAGCCGTTTGCCTACCTTCCATTTGCCGTCTGACTGCACTCAGACTGTTGCCTGTAATTAAGGTGATATGCGGCAGCCAACCGACCGAGTCAATGGCGCTGCCGCTGCCGGCGCTGCCAAGTGCGTGCTCTGTGCGTGCCTTATGCCTCTCGCCTGCTAAATGCAAGTCTGTGTGTGAGTGAGGCGTTTTGCTCAAGGGCCCCATATTTGAGTGTGGCTGTGTGGCTGTGTGTGTGTGCGCGTGTGTGCGTGTTAATGAGCAGCCTGCTGTGCAGACCAAATAAATTATTAAAACAGCATTCAAGTCGCGCTCAACTATCAGCACTAGCAAGAATCTTTTGGTACAAATTCGTACTAAAGCTTTTTAAATCTTAACTATTAATCTTAATATTAAATGGATTATAATGAGCGATAAGATCAGATCAGATGATCTTGCAGTTCCTTAAAAGCAAAACTGAATAGTTTCATAAAAAGTGAAATTTCTTCAAAGATTGGATAAATGACGTGATCTAAGCGCCTTGCAGATCTCAATACATTTATTTGATAATATAGCGATAATCTCTACAAATTAATAATAATTTATATTAAAAGGATCGAAGCTAGTTGGAGTCAAGTCAAACGACAAGTTGGCCGTATGTATTCTTAAAGTTTGTAGCATGCTTTTGGGCTGATAAAAAATGCTCTCAGTCCGTTTTATTTGCTGCAGTTCGCTCGCTGTAAATGCAATTCCCATGGAGCATCTGCTTCTAAATATAAGCTGGATTCTGTGACCACCGCCTACAAATCGGCGAAATTAAAAAATGCCATGCAGCAGCGAAGCCGGCGTCGGGCGCCCCTCAATCACACGAGCTGACAGCTGTGGTGAGCCGACCAAAACCCAGAACTGAAAACAACGCGTTCCAATTGCACAGCAAATAACTAAAGCTCGAATTTTTATTTTCCATTTGCGCCGTTTCCATTTCCATTTTTGTTTTTCCTACTGCTTTCTGCCGCTGCTAACCAATATTTCTTTTCAATTTTGAAATGGTGCGAGCTCCGTACAAAACTTTTGTTGTAAAACTAACTATTTTGGCATTTGTCCGCATGCGGGCAAAAACTTTGTGAGCACGCGTTAATGTGTGTGTCTGTGTGTGTGTGTGTGTGCTGGGTGCACAAATTGAAATGTTCTTGAGACATTTTGTAGCTGTTATTGTTTTGCCTGTGTGTCAGTGAGTTTCTTTACCTTTCAGATGCAGCAAAGTTGCAGCCACTCACTGCTGTTAATTCGGCAAACGCTTCCGGCGGTGCCACCCCACCCCCACCCCATCGCCACAAGCAGCATATGCAGCTGGCAACAGGACCAGGACCAGGATCAGGTCGCAGCCCAGTGCCACGCCCCAAATGCAGTTGGCAGTTGTACGCAATTTTGTCGCTGTCAAAAAGTTTTACTGTGCCTGTCGCTGCTTCTACTCCTGCTGCTGCTGCTGCTGCTGCTGCGGCTGCTGCGGGCACAGTTTTGAATTTGTTGCAAAAAGTGTTTATTGGTTTGCCATGTGCAACAGCCACTCTATGAAAATTGAGTTATTCGCTTGGCTCTCGATCAGCCCTCGGGGCACTTGAGAGTTTGTATGCAAAGCAACTGCTTGACTGCCTGTCGAAACTTGGCACACATGCTGCCAGTTTTGGCTCATTAACTTTGCCACACTCCCAGCCTCTGTCTCAGTCTCTGCTCCTGCTGCTGCATATCAATTAGCTGACTTTTAGGCGCTGTCATGTATAATTAAACAAGTTTGAGAGTTGGAGCCTGGTAGCTGATAGTGTGGTCCAACTCAACGCTGAGTAAACCACATCCTGTTTGCCTCTTTCACTCACAGCCATGGCTCATTAGCAGCAGCAGCCGCAGCTAAAGCTGTAGAGCTGTAGAGCTGACTATGATAGCCCTGGCTAATTTAATATTTATACCTTAATCAAGACACGAGGCAGCCCCTTTGATGGCTTCCTCAGGAAATCAGTTGATGGCCAGGCGTTAATTGACCATTCCCATTCAAACTTGCCATCTGGCTGCCACAGTTGTCTGTCACACAAATTTTCAATCGATAGAGCACATCTGTGACCAGGCACACACACTCGCTCCCACACATGAGCTGCCGCTCTGTGTGTATTTGTACAGCCCACGGCTTTGATTCCGTAATGAGGCAACCGGGCTTGTTGCACCTTTGTAGCGTCCTGGGCATATGAAAGAGGACAGCAGACGGCAATAGACAGGGACAGAGAAAGACACGTAACGGCCTGGCGAAAAGAAAAAAGGCTTTAGCTTTGTCCGTGGCCATGGCCGGATGTGTTTTACGGCCAAGATACCCTTGATTCGCCATTTATTTCGTAGTTTATCCTTTCGTTGATTATTGCACAACATTTGGCTCGCCCTCTCCTGCTGCTCCTGCACCCCCTTTGTAATTTTGTCAGACTTTTGACCTTATGGGTCCCGACGTTGTTTGCCTTTGTTTACGCATTTCATTGTTGAGTAGCTCCTTCAATTTCCATGCACATTTAAAGGGATTAAAAAGATATTCGTCAAACCCAAAGCTACACAAGTTTGCTTAACGCATTTCTTTAGCCCAGACCCTCGAACGATTTATGTGTGTGTATCTCCCGGACCCAATGTGTGTTTTGTGCTTTTATGGTTGACACAATATTATCTTATATTTAAGTACAACTGGGTTGGTGAGGGCGAAACCGTTAATAAAAATTATACTCCTTTCAGTTTTCAACATTTATTTTGTAATGTTTAGTTCATTCTTTTTTACCACAAATAGTCATATTTATATTTTATTAGTTATTTATGTGTAGTAAATTGACAAGCCAAGCAGTAGGCGTCATTTTAAGAGCTGGGTTTCTTTTTCTTATTCCATTTTCTTGAACTTTACTTTATTATTTTTCTTTGTATTTGTCAAAGTAAACTTGACATGTCGACACCGAATTATACATATTTACTTGTATATACTACATACTTAATGTTTAATAATAAGTACATACATACATTCATAATCCGTGGTAACTTTTCGTTTTTTTGTTATTATATATTTTTATATATATATATTTGCATAGGTTGCAATTTTTACACGTGTATCTTTGATGCGCCGTTTGGTATGCCTGTATCTATAAATAAGTATGTATTTACGTAATTCTTTATGTTTACTTTGTGGTACAATAATTTTATCATTGTATTTGTCAGCCGCTGCGATTTTAAGTAGCGCCTGTTAATGCTATTTTCCTAGACCTTAAGATTTATGGTACAATATTAATTACAATATATCATTAACAAAGGAAAACTCAGTGAAACAATAAATCAATATCGAATTAATGACATTTCTCACATGTGTATAAGCATGCATTTATGTATATTTATTATATATTGAATATATTCAATAGGCGAAATAAATGATATATGCTTTTTTTTTTTTGCTGTGTTATTTACGTGCGTAAACCAAACTCTGCGTTAATTTTCTCTGCTACATAATTTTATTTCACACACTTTTACACTCATGTTATATATATTTATATAAAATTAATATGTTTTTTCTATAAATGTTGGATTAATACGCCATGATATGTGTGACTGGAAGAATCGTGTATATATATGTATGTCAGTGAAATTATGTAGGTACTCGCCGTTACGATTACAACAATACTTATAGCCCGAGTGCACTTTATAGTGTTAATGCTGTGGCTGATCCGATGTTATTACACTTGAGGAACATATAAAAAATATGTGTGTATTTATGTCAATATATGTGTCCATATGTAAATAAATAAATCAAGATGAACAATGTCATTTCAATTTACGTACAGTATCCGCTCTTATTGTTGCTCCTCAATGAGACAATTAAATTTTTTTATTAAATTATGCTAATTGCGTTTGCCGCTGCCACCGATATTATTTTTCAACTATTAATTGCCGTAATTGTCCTTTTCTTATTTGCGGCTCGTGGTTTTAAGTTTCAGATCAACTTTAATTTTTGTTAAGTTAGTGGGTTTTGCTACCTCTTAAAAAGTTTACTTTAATCCGTTTTAAAGTTTTTTTTATCTTCTTTAGAAAGTAAACCGATCTAAGCCTTTCTGACCACCAAGTAAATAAACATCAACAATTTCAGCTGGATATTCTGTGCAAAATGTTCTTAATTCAGCTTGCCAAGTTCTGATAGCTTCGTTGGGCCGATATATATACTATATATTGTTTTCCTTTTGTTTACATCCACTTTAACACAGATAATTGTACAACATTTATGATATGTTTTGCGAATTGCTGTGACATTAATTATTTGGAATTTTCATAGAGCTTAATGTTTCTTTTAGTTCCCAGGCTTTTTATCCCGTTCACATATACATAATACACCATAAATATAAATATTTATCTGCTTACATAAGACATTCTTATGTATGTATGCGATAAAGTGCATTTTGATCAGTGCGTAGACTTACTTCTGAAGAAGGAAAACATTAACACATAGATGTCAGAGGACAGAGCTGGAAACACAACACACAGATTTACACACATGGATTTGTAAATATGTATGTATATATATGTATGTATGGTATTGTATGCATGTATGTATGCTATTACATTGAGATAATTCAGTTATGGCTGATATGAATGCGAGATATGAATAGGAAGATGTAAGAGTGTGCCTAGATTGGTGGGAAATATTTGCCCGTCCTTATTAATAAAAGACGACACAGTATTGTTAAAATGAAAGATCAGATGATTGTAAAGATGTGTTGAAAACATCTGTACGTGAATGCTGCAAAGAGAATTAAACTGAAAACTATGAGATAAATCATTTGTTTAACATATTGAAAAAATAGTCCATAGATTCTCACTTAAAATAAATCATTTATAGTTAAAGCTTATATACTTGTTGTATAATCTGAGTGTTCTTTTGGATTGCAGCACCAATTTAACACAATTATCTATAATTTTATGTTATCAATTTAACACACAATATACTTATGTATGTATGCATACATTGGAATATACCTATAATCTAGTTTATTAATGTAAATTTTATAAATTTCTCAATTGGTTTTTCTTGTTCAGTTAATAATAGACAGCGTAGCATAGGAAGACGTCAATACCTGCATAAGACATTTTAGCCATATTTTTAATATATAATATGTACTTTTGTTATATTTACCATTTACCATTTTGTAATAATGTTTCTTGCATTTTTATAAAAATGTTGTTTAAGCATACGTTAATGCATTTTCTCTGTAGTTTTCAATTGGATCTGAAACTAAGGATTTTACTGCATATTTCTTGAACTAATGCTTTGAACAATCGTTTTAAAAAAAGGTTTCAACTATATTTCCCGGAAATTTCTTTGCGGCCTTATTTAATATATATATTTTTTCTTTAGCTACTTCTTCAAACTGTAGGAAAATGTTTGCAGGCGTAATGATTATTTTACATTTCTGTTTTTCTTGTTGCTTATTATGAAGTTAAAAATATTTGCCTAATAGCTAAGTAGTTACACACATTTATGTAGACGCATATTTATATATAGTTGTATATTGGTATAATATATATAAACTAGGTTGCTATTTGCTTTACATATATTTACTTTGCGCTGTGCGATTGAATTTTGTTTTTGTTTCCTCCGACTTAGAGACTATACATACATATTTTGGTTACAATGTATGCTACGCGTAAAGACTTTTTCAGTTAGCAATAGACATTGAAAGCGTTTTTGAAAATATCCTATTAAATATATACTTATTCACACACTCATATATGAATATCTTAGCTCACCCAAAAAACAAACAGTGAACGGCAAATGAAATTATTTTCCTAACTACTCGCACATAAAAGACGATCCATTTCGACAATTACCATTTACAGAGCGCAATTAAGGGCTAAATGAATGCAAATAAATAAGCTGTGTAAGTGTAGGAAAAGGAGTATCCCGACACCAGAAGGAGCGAATTTCGCGTCATCAGGAGTTCAACCATTTGGGCTGACCCTTTTTAGACTTGCCACGTGCCGCAGATTGCGACCATTTCGACGCCCTTTCTTGTCGCTGTTATTTATTTGGTTTTCGTTAAGGTTTTTGTTTTTGTTTTGTTTTGTTTTTTTCTCAAAATGTTTTCAACACTGATTGTATTTGTAAGCTTCTTGGTTTAACTGTCTAATTATTTTACATTTAAACATTTCATTTTCTGTGGGGGGGTTAATTAATTTTTTGTTGCTACGGCCTAAATTCAAACTTGCCTTAATTTTAGCCTTAGATTTGCTATTTAGCCAAAGCGTTACAACACCATAAAAAATATCATTTGTTTGCATAACTTTTTATATTTTTTTTGTTTGCATTTTAGGTACATGGGCCCAAGCAGTCTGGCGACTGCCCAAGTTCGCCAAAAACGTTCTTTATCTATTGTAGTTTATTTTCTGTTTAAAATTTTATTTGCACAAATATTTGACTAGGCCCAAAATGTGAGGCGCATCGCCACTTAAACTGCATCCGGCTCACCTTCAAATGCTAAACTAACTCCTTGTCCCTTGCGACTTGGGTATGCTCCATTGAAAGCTATACAAAAATTTCGCTACGCTACAAAATTGTCAGCTGCTAAAAAAGAAACAATTTCGATGCTCACATTTGACTGCAACTTAATTACAAATATTTCTGTTTTCCGTATTGCAGTCCGGCAATAATTTACAAATAAACTCTTTCACTCGCTATTTTGCCAGAACGAGGCAAAAAATATTATTGTTTATGCACTCGCTCTTAATTGTTTGCATGCTTTTTGGCTTCTTCAGATACTTGGCTAATTTTCCAGCTCAATTACACTGAAATCGCCAACTTGCCTGTGCATGACTGTTGCTGTTGTTGTTGTTGTTGTTGTGGTAGTTGTTTCTGTTTGGGTGCCCTTGGTTTTGGTTTACTGTACCTCTTTCTATGTCGGTGGTCTTCTCTCCTGCAGTTTGATGGCTACGTTTGCTGCAGTTTCATCCTAATAGCTCAGTGACAGCAGCACGAAAATCAGCAGGGGTGCCAGCGACCACAGATGCGTTAGGAAAGCTCCGCGCGCCCTCCAACCGGCGGATGTCTCGTTTCCGTGCCCGTTGCCATTGCCTAGGGCTGCCATCCCAATGCTAGGCGGAGCCGTTGACGTGGAGGACGCCTGATGACGCTCTACCTCGACTGCAAAGGTCAAAAGAGAGAAGAACATTATAAATAAAGCTTTAGAAAGTCGAAACCAATGGTCGGATCAGGTGGAAGAGATATTTTAGAAGCAAACAGCAGGCAAGGTTGCCTAACAAAATTAATTAGACCAGCTAAAAGTCATCTCCTGAAAGGCAATGGGACTTAAAATAGCAAAAAAGAAACAAGTTGACAAGGGGAGCGTATAAATAATGAAAGTGGAAAGTACTTTCAGTAAACAAAATGAGGGTACAGGAAAAAAACAAAATTTAACCAGCGCTCGGGTGCAGAGGGGTAGCAGAGTTCTCCAATAGCTAATGGAAAAAACAAAATTGTTAAGATAGTTTGTGGCTTTTTCTATAGAGTCGCAAGCAGAAAATGTTTGGTAGAAATCAAAGCTAGCAAAATGATAGCAGATCCTAAGGACAGCATAAGAAACAATTAAGGAGTGGAGCACTCTTGGCTGTGAAGTGGCCAAAACAAACGACGTACTTCACGCAACATAAATAACACGCATACGCCCCTTGGTTCAGAGGAAACTCAAGAGCCGAACGGGCCGTTAGCTGCCGCCGGCGACAACGACAGCGACAGAGACGGCCAACGACCGTCTTGAGTCATGGGTCTGTCTGGTAATGTGTAAATTATTTCATACAATTTGAGACAATTTACAACACCGGCTGAGTCAACGGCTTTACCGGCTGCAAGTGCTAACAGCCAGCGTATGGGCAAACAAAGCCGAGCAAATATATAAATTAACTTTTGTTTGCCCGCCTAGCGGTTATATGGGCGGGGCGGCATTAAGCGAAAATTAAACGAAGGCAAACAGAATAGATGACACACGCCCACATAGTGCGAAGCGGGGCGGGACGTGACAGGGCGGGGCGGGGCGGGACGGCTGTAAAGTCAACGACAGAAATATAAATGATGGCCGCATTTGAAAATGGCAACAACGTTGCAACGTTGACTTTGGCTTTTCAATTCTGTGCCGCAGTATTGTTATTGTTGTCTCCTTGAAAGTCATCGTGACGAAGGCAAAAACACACACAGCATTTACAATGGGCACGCATTTAACAGGTCTAACCCAGCAGCCGTACAATGCTAATTTATATTGTGTAAATTCGGCCGAGATTCCCTCCGACAATTCCATAATTCACATTCACCTTGGGCGCCCGTATGCAAACGAGCCATATTTTTGATGAGCTCATTGCTCGCAATTTTATGAAGCGACGCCCAAAACAAATATTGTTCTTGCATAGCATTACATGCGGCATACAATAAACACATACTTACTTGCTTATGTATAATATACTAATTTACATGTGTACGTATCTATATAATAATGCTTATATGCATATCACGCATACGCCGCGTTCTGCCACTCACCTTTCACCGAATACGTTTTGTAATCGGCATACTGCTCGCCCTGACCCACCGTCGCCGGTATCGTGGACAGGCATGTGATCTCCATGCGGCCATTGCTGCCCACGTGCTGCTCCGTTATCTCCAGATTGAGCTGACTAATGCTGAACATGCCCTTCTCCTGCTGCGCTGCGGTCACTGCAGCCGCAGCGGCGGCCACACCACTGCCGCCTCCTGGATGAGACAGCGGACGCTGATAGCCGGCTGCCAGCTGGTTCATGGGTCCGGCATTAGATGGTATGCCCAGTTCCTTGTTCAAGTTGGGCGCCTGTGGCCCAAATCCGCCACTGTTCAGAGTGCTGCGAATAATGCCGAGCGCATTTTCGTTAATATGACGCCGAAATTTTCGGTTTGCGTTTCTGAAAAAGATTGGTAAAGAAAAAAAACGGAGAGGTTAATAAATTCCTGGATGTATGTGTGTGTGTGTGTGTGTTTGCTCCATGTCTGAGTTTAATGCGCCGAACGCCAGCTATTTGCACACAAATAAACTCGTAAATATTTGCATTTTATGATTGATGTGCGAAAACATGAAAAGCCAAACAAGGGCGAGTTTTCACATGCCGGTCACGCACTAAAACGAATTTAAGTACAATATATATACTACCAAACCTATTTGTAGTTGGTCACACATACTGCGGCTGCCTAACTCAATTGACTACAAAATGCGGGATATGCCTTTGCCCCATGAATTACATTTTAAGCTATATCGATAAACAAATCAAAAAGTAGCAATTGTAAAAATGAATATTAAATTGCTGTCCCCTTAACTGAAAACATATTCAATGGATGAAAAGTTAAAATTTAGTGTCTTGTCGCTCGGCTACTCGACATATTATAATTGAGTTGAGCGTATCTGGTGGATAGGTTTGCATTACTCAAACGGCGCCGCCGCGTGCCTCACTCACATATTCTAAGTCCAATTATCCTTTACGGCTTTGTTTCATATTTGATAAGAAGCCTGCGCGGCATATAAATGAGTTCGGGTCTGCTTGGTGAGATTTCGACGGCTGCCGCCTCGTAATTACCTCAGCCGTGCGTGCGAGCGTCGACGTCTGTGACGACGTGTTGCTTTATTACAAATGCAAAATGACTGCGGAATTACCTGTACACCCACCATACACAAGCACGCACACACACACACACACACACACACACACACACCCACACACAACGCGTGCAACGACACTTGAGAAAATAACGTGGAGACCATAAAGTTTTATGCACCCAATGTCCTGGCAAGCCAATTGTCAGCTGTGTTAGTTTAAGGCCGCAGTGTCAGTAGGCTTTAATGGAATGTTGCCAAACCGAAATTGTGAGACTTATTCAAATATCCGACAACGCGCTTATTTCCGTCTCATTTAAGCAATTAAGTTATTTGCATTGCGGCGACTGCAAAGGCGTATTTAAATTTCAAGGCAAGGGCCTCACAGTTTGTGAAAGGTAATATTTAAATATAATGTTCCTGTAAGTGCAACAACAAGCATATCCTTGACGCAGCCAGCGGATGCGATATGCAGCTTTCAAGATACTCTCCGTGAATGTGTTTGCATGTGTATTTCCGAGTGTGTGCGCGTGTGTGTGTGCCCGTGTGCTACATGCGAGCTGCTCTCCCTGTTGGTTGTCGGGCTAAGAAAACGGGCAAGTGCCATGCAAAGAACTTCCCTGTTTGAATAGATGAGCAGACATGCAAACATTTCGGAATTCAATTGTTGGCGATAAGAAACAAAATATTTTTAGATATGATTCTTATAGTTCTGCGATAAAAATGCGTTAAATTTAAGCCAATGCTTTTAAATATGAAACCATTTACTAGTTTGATGTTGAAAATTCTCGCAATTGGATTTTCTGTAAGAGATGCCAAAATGTTGACCTGTCTGTGGATACAATGCACATTGTGTGGGATGTGCCTAAAGCTTTCTCACGCACAAGAAGAAAACAATCCCATCGTATTGCCCCTAGCCGCACAGTCGAAGAACTTAAGTAGCAACAGCAGCAGCAACAGCAACAATAACATGAAAAGCCAGTTACTGGCAGACAGCATCAACATCAACAGTAAGCTAGTTTAACTAAGAGCGAAAACAAATGCCGGGCAAAACTCAAAGCAAATGCACAATATCCGCATAAGCCTTCGACAGCGTTACGTTGACGAGCTTGCCAGCAACAGTAGCAACAGCAGCAGCAGCAACAGCAGGAACAGCAGCAACAGCAGCAGCAGCGATGACGGCAGCAACAGCTGCTACTGCAACATCATCAACATGGATGCATGCTGTTGTTACTGTTGTTGCTGTTGGCATTACAGTTGCCCGTACTTGTTGTCTTAATCAAATTCCTTATGCAGCACACTTTTCACTGGAAAAGCAACAACCAGCAGCGACAACATCAGCAGCAGCAGAAGCAGCAGCAGCAGTCGTGGCAGGAAGCTCAAGTTCAAAACACAACAAACTTGCCAAGCAATGCAAATCAAGCGGAAATGCGGGTCCTGGTGAACAGTCTCGAAATATTGGGTAGCAAGGCAAGTTATGAAAATTCTGTGACACTTTAAACTCTACCTTTAAATGTTTTAGGGAATATCTTAACTTGGCGCTGACATGCAAAGCCATTTACGCGTCTTGGTCTTATCGCAGCCATGCCCAAGGCGATAATTTGAGAAATACGCCTAATTAATTGGTATGTCATGTAGTCTGTTGCGGCTGTTGCTGTTATTGGCTTATGTGCCTATCGTCCGTAAGAGTTTGCTGCTTTATTTTGTTTTCAAACGCAAGCAAATGAGCTAAGGGCACCGCAGAGCGTAACGCAACAGAACCTTTTAGGAATTTATGGCAGGGGGTCACTTCCCCAGACAGCACACGCCCAGAACTATGCACAGCAAAACTCGATATTCGAGTAACCGGGCCCATGGCTAGTTCATTTCGACAAACAAGGACTCTCACGAGAAACAAGGAAAGCAACTTAACTGGAATCAAGGCAACAACAATGGCAAAGGCAACGGCAACGGCAACAACACTAGCAACACTAGCAACACCAGCAGCAAAGGCTACGTGCCAAGTCCCATGAATTTCTTATATTAAAAGACCTTTGTAATCGAAAACCGGAAGTTGGTCTAACCGCAAGCAGGCAACAGTATTAAGAGCGGTCAAGGCAAACACCAACAGATTAGCAGTTCAACTTTTTGAAAACTTTGTAATGCTCCGCCGGCTGGTAAAGCTGAAAGCTTGGCCTCCGGCTACAGAAGCCATTCTCCAATCCAACTTCTCCCGCCAAATCGAATTAGCTATTCAGATATAATGTTTGGTGATTGCCAGGAAACGCGACGAAAATTCAAATATAACAAGTTGAAACTATCGAGAGTTGCGGACGTGAGTTACTCTGTTGACAGTGTTATAGAAAGTTGATAACGAGGATTTCATCATGGTCCTTGCCCCAAATAGAACATTTTGTTAACTTTTTCTATCTGGGATTAAAGGTGGGCAAATCGCATTAAAACCTTCTTTTTGACGTGGGTAGCACAATTTTTAAATATCGCTGTAGCTCATACAGACCGAAGGACTTGCAGAAAATCAATAAACTCCATTTCCCGTTGGGAACAGGGTATACAAAACCAACGCGCAGAAAAGTCTGCTACGAGTTCGTCAGGTTTAAAATTGGGTCATCTAAGGTCGTCGAGAACAACAACAACAGCAACAACAGCTACTACTGTCATGGGCATGAAATTATAACTGACACTGACAGCGAAGGTTTTTTTATGTCTCGTCGCGGCGTTTCGGTCTATTGAATAATTTATGCACCGTAAAGTGCCCTCGCGTGCCGAGAAACAAATGGTAGAGCGAGTGGTAGCTCACCAATCCTCCATACTTATAACTATACAGCTAAATATATATATTTATATACCTAAGCGATAAAAAAAAGCCATGCAACTGACTTAAGGAAGTTGCATAAATGCAAGATTTTAAATTAGTACAGTAATACTAAGGGGACACAACTTCTTTGTGTTAGCGAATATTTCTGCACAATCTATTTATATATATGTAGATTTTTGTTAAACCAGATTTAAAAAAAAAATCTAACATAGCTGTATTAAAGATTTGTACATCAAATAATGAAATCATGTCCAGTTCTATGTTCATTTCATTTTCAATCCTATTACGAGTAATTTAGTTACTGCTCCGGATTTACAACCCGAATATTAAATGCTTTAAGCAAACATATCTGTTAAATGCAATTCACTTGAAAACAAAAGAAACAATATCGTGGTCGACTGTGCTCAACTACAGAATCACCTGTAATTTATAATTCTTCAAATCATGAAATAAAGCCAAAATTCAAAGTTCGAAAAAGGAACAAGACGTTGACAAAAACTGATAAGCTCGTTTTGCGTAAGGTATTAGGGAACATTTATAATACGTTAAATTTCATGTCGCTGGCTTTGTAGTTTCCAAGATCGACCATTGTACCCTTTACTACAGGGTATAAAAAATTGTGATACATATTAGTTCTCCTTTTTTTTTTGTTTTTTTGGTTTGCTTTCAGTATACATTTATTACAAATTTAAACCACTTGGCCTGAAAATCGTTTAATTTTTTAACAGCATTTTTGAACACAGCGTGCTGCTTTACACCAGAGACAATAGTGCTCGGAGCCGGAGATATTAAAAGCTAGTGTGAACGATAAATGTGCATGCAAACATGAAAATTTTATTAAGTTAATGAAAAATGAAACATTTAAGTGCGCTTTAAGCTTTAGATTAACAAGGAATAACCATAAACTTTTTGATATATTAAAAAATATATCGCATAATTCTTTCATTACACAATTTTTATACCCTAAACCCATTCAAAATGGGTAGAAGGGGTATAATGTATTTGTGCAAATGTATGTAACAGGCAGAAGGAAGCATCTCTGACCCTATAAGGTATACATATATATTCTTTATCAGCCGAGTCGATCTCGCCATGTCCGTCCGTCCGTCTGTCCGTATGTATGTAGGTATGAACGCAAGGATCTCAGAATTTATAAGAGCTAGAGACTTGAAATTTTGGCTGTAGGTCCTCCTAATGCCCGATATTCGGTAGCTTGCCCCCTATTCCAATTCTTCAGGGTATCCCCTAGTCGGGAGCTCCCTACTAGAACCTCTTACTTGTTTATTATGCTTAAGTCTCTTACATTTTTACTGCACAACTAAATTAACTGAATGGCGTTTGCTGGCAACATAAATACTGCAACTAGTCATTGATTTTGAATAGTCGCCCTTCGGCTATAGCTAATGCATTTTGCAATTGTTTTGTATCCTCTTACTATTTTTTATTGCTGCTTATCAAGTTGACTGCCTTTGGGCACCAATGGAATAATTTGCTTAATTACGCATTTATTGTTTATCGACTGTGTACATACATATGTACATCAACATGCAGCTACTTTTTTAAGCTCACATGCTCGCAATTAACTTAATTGCATTTCCATTGATTTTGCCTAAGGCCTGCAGCAACTTGACGTGCTATATGATAACCTCGTTAGCCCCATTAGCAAAAGATAAATATTTCAACTTGTGACCCACAATAGTATACAAAAGTAAACATATGGCATATACCCAAACCGCGATTCCTGATAAAACTGCTTTTAATTCGCTTTAATAATTAACTATACTAACAGGCGGGTACATATTGTATTAAATCGCGTCAGCTGAGGGCTTTTTTTGGACACACTTGAATTTTAGTCAGATATAAAATTAAATAGGTTCATTGCTGTTAAACGGATCACAATACCTATCAAATATAATATTGAAAAAGGGTTTCTTTTTTGTTCAATTTAATTTATAGGAATTGCCTTTGGCTAAAATACAGCTTAAGTGCAAAAGAGCCCATACCTCCAACAAGTCCCTTAATATTCTACTTACTAATTCATTTTATATTAAGTATGCGTGATCACAAACTATTTTCAAACATTGTCAAAAGTTGTCTTCCAAAAGTGAAAGGCGGCAACAGTTTGCAGGCACTGTGTGAAAGTTATCATTAAGCCTACAAGAGGGCAGTAGTATTTTCAAACTAAAATAAAACAAAGCAAATGCGAGTAAAAGTATACCACACAATTTACCAGAAACACCAAAGTTTCTCACGGCCAGCGACGCCGTCGAATGAGGTCTGCCGCGGTTGGAGTAAAGTTTATATAGTTTACATTATTTTTTGTGGAGCCCGCATGTGGCATTGTTTAAAAAGATATGTGAGTATTAATAAAATAAAATAAAAATGAAAAATAGCAATAATTCAACATATAACTCAGTAGTCAACTATTAGTTGCTATGATTTTCAAAAATTTGCCTAAGTCAAAACAAATTGTTCTGAATTTTACTCAGTTAGACGGGCAAAAATAAAAGCGCAGCTTACAAATATATATACTAGTCACCAGACTCTAGCTCATATTATTTGCCGAAATTTCTATAAAAAAACAGGATTTCGATATCGATTTTTATCGATTACTTGGAAACGGGGCAGGTTATCGAATATCGAAAACCAAATTCGATCTGCGCGGGGACTAGGAGGACCTACAGCCAAGTCTCTAGCTCTTATAGGTTCTGAGATCCTTGCGATCATACATACATACGGACAGACGGACAGACAGACGGAGGGACAGACAGACGGACATGGCTAGATCGACTCGGCTGTTGATGCTGATCAAGAATATATATACTTTATGGGGTCGTAGATGCTTCCTTCTGCCTGTTACATACATTTGCACAAATACATTATACCCCTTTTACCCATTTTTAATGGGTTTAGGGTATAAAATAATAATAAATCAAACTAATGCTAACTAAACTATGATTTTGAGCAAAATGAAAACAGAGATGGGAAATATTAATGCGTTGTGACCGATCGGCTGTTGGCAGCCGCAGGAAAAAAGTAAACAAAAATGTGCCTAAAGCATTTATTTGATGTCCCTAATTAGAAATATATGCGCAAAAAAACAATAGCAAAAATGAAATGATGCTTAACTAAAAATGCTTCAAACGGCGCTTGTTAATTTGCATAAATACAGTCTGTGCTTTGTTTTTCTGTTTTTATATCGTTTGATTTTTAATTTATTTTTAGTTTTTTTGTAATTTTACGAAACGGCATTGTTATCTGTTTGGGCCAAACGGCGAATACAAATATTGTTACAGTGGCCAAAAAGCTAACGAAACTGCTTAGCGTCGCATTGATTTGTGGTCTGCGGCAGCCAGTTCCCACCGTTGTTGTCATGCTAATCGGTTGCTATCATTATAAAATATTTAGCGTGCATTCATTTAAATTCAATTCAATTTCCGAATCATTGGCTGTGTTGACATTTGCTGCTGCTGTGCTGTTGTTGTTGTTGTTGTTGTATTGCTGTAATATTTTGCATTTGCGTTGATGTTTATAATTAATTAATTACGTGGCCACAAAATGGCCAAGAATGCAAATTTCGCCAAATGCAAAATGCGGCGCATACCTCTTGTCATTGCCCCACATTGTTAGTCTTTGTGTGCCGCCGCGAGATCTCTAACCGGTGTTTCCAGCATTTCCATTTCCATATCGTTTCGATGCGATTCGTTTCGATTCGATTGATTCAGCGAAATTTGCAATAGGTTTTTGATTCATGCAAACTAATTCGCTGGCGGATACGGCTAGCCGCTTTTGCACTTTACGTCATTTACAACATTCAGCGATAAGGTGGATGAGCGGCCAAAATCTGTAGCTGTAACCACAACGGCCATCGACTGCGCAATCTGCATCTCCGATGGGCGCTTATAAAAACGCCCATCGATCGCACGAGCAGCATCACACGCCTTTCACACCTCGAGCCGTAATCGCGCAAGGTGACAGCCGTTGACATTGCAGCTGAAATTGGACTTTCAGGCGTCACAGGAATATGCGTGGATTTATTGTAAGTGCCGCAAAAGACTTTCCACTTAAAGTTTTTCGATTTTCAATTGAAATATATGTTCGCTTGGCAGGTCTTAGCTTTGCTGGCGACAGCCCACGCAGAATTGGGCGGTTATAATTATGGAGCCGGTATTGGAGGCTCTCTATCTGGAGGCTCACTGTCTGGTGGCTCAAATCTAGACTATGTGTCCAACAGTCAGCCCGACTACTCCAGCGTCAACACGGAATTCAACAAAGAGTTCTATACATATTCAGCGCCAGAGGCAGATTTCGAAGATAACCGCAGCGTCGGCGACTTGGCTGCCTCGCTGAAGCGGAATCTGCGCGTGCTCTTCATTCGCGCGCCCGAAAACAAAGGACTGGAGAACGCTGCAGTGGCGCTGGCCAAACAGGCCGCCGAGCAACAGACTGCCATCTATGTGCTGACCAAGCAAGGCGATCTCACCAGCCTGGCCAATAGGCTGCAGAATCTCAACCACGTGAATGCCAAGAAGCCCGAGGTACACTTTGTCAAATATCGCACGGCTGAGGATGCGCTAAATGCACAGCGCACCATTCAGCAGGAGTACGATCGCCTGGGCGGCTCCTCCACATCCTACAATGCTGGCACTGCGCCCGTTCTCGACTTTGTCTCAAAGCAAGCGGTGCAACAGCAACAGCAACAGCAGCCGCTGCAGCTCGTGGACGAGCGCAGAGGAGACATCAGCATTGAGTCCACTGACAATGTGGGTTCTCGTCTATCCGAGCTGGAGGCGCCTTCTGCCTTTGCGGCGCCTAGTGCCACCTATTTGCCTGTTAGCAAGGTCAAGTAGGCGTGGCCAAAGCTCGCGCTCCAGCAAATTAGCCAAATTGTAATAGTTAGTTGTTCGTTATAAAATAGAAATTTAATTTTAATGTGCGCCCATTGCAGTTGTTTTTCTCTCTCTCTCATTGCGATTAATGGAACACACCATTTCAGCCTCTTGTAGCTGGTATCAGCAAGCACTTAGCCCCCACTCAGCCCCCGCTCGCCCTGCCGCCAGCAATTAAAACTAAAAGCGCACTGGCATTGACCGCGCATAAGACTGGCCTCTCGCATTAAAACAACTGGCCCCAGTGCCCAGCTGCCCAGCTGGCAGCGCCTACCGTTTGCCCCCTTGCTGCCCACAATTAGTAGCCCGGTTTATGACACGTCGCCTCGGCTTCTGCTGACCCGCCCAGAAGAATTACTGCCACACACGCGATCAGCGCCAGGGACCAGCTAATTACATCTACTCCGCCGCACCATAGCCATAGCCAATTTCTTGTGCCTTAAGTCGCGGCGAGTCGCGACATTTAATGGTCGCCCTTTTGAGGGTCAACTCAGCGGCAATTTCAGCACACGAAAAACGTACAAGCGGACAACCACACTGAAAATTAAATGAAAATTACAAGCTGCATTTAAGGGCGCGCCCTTTTTGTAGGTTGTTCAAACTAAAGAACCAAAAAAATCCAACACACGAAAATAATAAGAAATCCAAGAGCACGGAATGTGCCATTTAAATAGTCTCAATGTCGAATACCCTCTTCCAAGCTAAGAAATATTTTTCTTTTATTATTTCATACTTTGAATAGGCTAATAAATAAATAGCAGCTACTAAACTTTTTTAATAGGCTTAGAAAGGTAAACAGAATAGCTTTGGCCTAGTTCGGGACTCGAAGCCGGGAAGCTTTAGTTAAATTTACTCTTTTACAATTTAAGTCTTTTGTAACTCTGATTGTTTTAAAGTCTGACACTAATTCAAATAATTTAACAATTGTCTAGACTTGCATACTACAATGTATTTCTCAACTCTGACAATTTGTAGTTGCATGCCCCTTTAAGGCTTGGGTACGTTTAGAAATGGTTGCACAGGGCAAAAATAATAGAGACGGCACAAACGGTTGCAGGTATTCAGCTGCAGCACGCACAGGAGCCTAAGCATACAGGCGCATACATATGTATATGTATATGTGTATGTGTGCATACCTTATGTATATACATATGTATGCATTTATCTGCACTGGCTTGTGTCTGGCACAATGGTCTTACGTGTTGCACAAACATAAATTGTGCAACAACGTGTAAACTACTTTTTGACTGCATAAAACGCCCCATTCATATGCCTTTGCCTGGCTGAGTTTCCTGTGCAGGGCTACCTGTCCTCTCTGGCTGTCCGCCCACACCCTCCCCCTCCCCACCACCCCCCGCACAAGTGTACATTCAGCGCTACGTGTTATGCCTTTTATAGCCATGCCACTGTTGCCGGGCTGCTGGTGCTGCTGTTGTTTTTGGTTTTTATGTTTTTTTAGTTACATTTTTGTTGTTGTTGTTACTTTCATTCTGCGCTCTTAAAGGCGTTTCAAGTCAAGCAGCTGAACAAAACCCTCAACCAAATGGCAACCATTCAGTCAGCGGAACAATGCCGAGTATATTGCTGTCGCCCGCGAACACTTGTTTGTATTGCAGCAATTACTTAATCAATTTTAGCGGTTAATTAAGCTGCATGACCAATGTTGCACACATGGCGCATACGTAATGTAGTTCATAAATGCAGCAAGGTCGCTGCTCGGGGCATGCTTTGACATTCCATTTGCATAAAATCACATGCATTGCACACACACACACAGACACACTCAGCAGTGTATTAAGCTTTAACTTAATAAACATCGTAGTCTATGTCACGCCCCGCACACATACACACACACGCACACTGAAATTTATGCACACTGCTGTAAACTGCTGTAAACATAAACGTGACCGTTACTTGCTGCCTTCTCTTGTTGTTGTTGTTGTTGTTGTTGTTATTTTTGTTGCTGTTGCTTGCGCATTTTATAGTTGTTTTTTTACTCCGTGCTGGAGTATTGCATAAATATGCGCCAAGTTTTAATAGTGGGCGCGTCTGCAATTACGCCCAGAGTCGTACTCACATACGTAAATACTGTGCAGCCTGTAACAGAAGCCATGAATAAAACAAATACAGGGTGTCTCTCTTAAAACTGAAGTTTGCCTCAATTTAGGCTTTATCCGACTTTCTCATGCTGATTTAAACTTTGATTTCTCTTTCATTTAATGGAAAGTGAACTCAAAATGGAAAACTAATTGCAAATATTTCTTTGCGTCTTTAATTTAATTACCAAAAATAAACTGGCATTTAAATATGCAAACAAAAATGGAGTAAGATATGATAAAATATTTTTGTGCTCTCAAGAACTGCTTGTCAAATAAAGAGTGAATAGAAGAAGGATTTTTATTTGTTTCACTTTAGACATCTGCTATTTAAGTGCTACTCAAGCGTTCTGCTATGCAGTAAGATAATTTGTAGCCGCACCCTGTATGCTCAGTGCAGCTTCAAGGCTTCAAAGGCTGCAGCTCGGGCACAACGCAGCTCACTTGCAACTGTGCCACCTGGCTTAAGCTCTGCCGGGAACGGGCTCGTGCACTTTGGTTATAAATTATTGCTTATTAACGTTAAGTTTTCAGCAAAATTAGTTTTCCACACACAAACACAGTCACACACACACGCTGCATTTTGAGTTGTGGCAAATTATTTTTAAAACGTTTTTGCTTTCGCCCACGGAAAATGCAATTAGCCGACAAGGAAATGGCGCAAGAGTTAATCATGGTTTCCACTTAAGGATAAATTAACCAAGTGGCATTTGCCACGAATGCGCAGCGACACACGTCAGATACGGATTGGGAAATGTGACATTCACGTGTGTAGACAAGCGAGCCAGCCAATTGCGCTAAAAGCATTTTAGATCTGGTTATATAATGCACTGTTAAACAGTCAATCCAAATATGATTCGATTGGCTGCCAAATGTCAAATGTCAAACAAAATGTTGAAAGTCTCCAAATGTGCTCGTTAAGTTGCAAGTGATGCGTTTGTTTTATTGTCTTAAACCTGGTTTGGCCTGGTTTACTGCACTTTATGTCAGGGCCATTTGCATTGCAGGTGGCCCATGCAAATGCCTGCCACGTGGCGTATGTGTAATGCGTATACGAAAGTGAGGCACGACCACACAACTTGAAAGAGCAACATCGCAGCAGCAGCAGCAGCAGACATGGTAGAAGCAGCTGGCAGGCGAATTGTGGCGTTGCCTGTCATTAAACTAGCACCACACACACAAACTTGCATCTTCACGCAAACACACACACACGCACACACGCCTACTCAAGCACACACTTAAGCACATACGCATGCCCATGGCTTTGAAAGTTGAGCTGAAAAAGTTGGTATATTGGAAAAGTTTTCCTTCTTGATTTTTAATATCGCAGGTGAGCGTAAATAATTTATTGCATTCATTTACGTTTCACTTCCAATCGCGCCACGTAAACATTTCCAGCAGGCAGCGTGTTTGGCAAGCAGAGGCCACCATGCCACAAAATTTATTTATATTATCCACAATAAAAGGCATAGGGAACGAAGCCCGCCCGCCTGGCAGCCGGTTTTAACAATGTGCCAACATCGCGGCACATGCACAAGCCAAATCCTTTTAGACCATAGATAAGAAAACTTTAATAAACACGCCACACACGCAACCTGGGGAAATTGATAAGAATATGAAAAGTTTTTGCTGGGCACAAAACAGCTGGCTCAGTAACCCAGCCAAGGGCGCCAAAGGACCTGTGAGAATGTTGTACATATGTGGGAAAGGTGGCAGGGTGCAGAACTTTGCACATTGCATACTTTTAGAAACAGTTCGTCGTCTGCTTAGCTGACGGCTAAAAGTTGTTGCGCTTTAATTTGTAAGCCTCATAAATAAAACTCTTTTTTATGCCAAGCATCGTCAGATGCCGGATCGGGCTGATTAATAGCCCGGTTGTGGACTAACCTGTGCTTTTTCAACTCCATCTGCTGCTTCTTAATCTCCATATGCTTCTTGTTTATATCGTAGTTGCGCTGATGTATCTCGTGTATCTCGCCGAGGTCATGATAATTAGCCAGAGAGCTGAACGGATTGTTGTAGATGTTGCCAACGCCGCCATGATGTATATGTCCGTCGTGTCCATGGTGCGGCGCATACTGCGAGAACTCATCTGCAATGGGAAAGTCAAGAGTCATTTTCACAAATGGGCTTAATTAAACTAAACGTTGCACTAGCTCAAAACCACCAGCTGACTATGCAGCTGGAAACAATTATATAATTGCATTCTCTTGCTGGTCTGTCATCGGTCAGAGACATAGAGCAAATATATATTCTGTTGCAAATAAAATTAAATGAAAGTCACAGTAGATGGATAGTTTAAAGATATATCTTAAACATTTAAATCAAATATGGGCAATATGTAGCTTTTATTGCCTTTCACTCAGGAGAGATTTGAGAGGGAAAAGAACGTTTCCTCTGTTCGATACAAAGCACTGTCACCTCTAATAAACATCGGACTTCTATTTCCGTTTCTATTTACTAATATTTGTTTACCGGAAAAGGGAAGTTAAAAGGGCGTTATCAAAGTATTTGCAACGCTAAGATACAGTCTTAACATTTTGAATATATACTCGTTAAAGCCGCGTCAGATAGTGTTACAATATTTATGACACGAAAGATGTAAGTCGAAGCACCAAATTCTGCAGGTGGACCACTGATGCCCACCTCTAAGGGTCGACCCTCTAACCACAATTATTTAAAGTTTTCGCAGTTTTTGAGCTAGACAAAAAAAGAATAATAATACCAAAGCTCAAGTCGGTTGCAGCCGATTGCAATATTTTAACTTATCGTGGTTTACTTACCGCCTGGACGGGCCCCGCCCCAGCGCAGGCTCTTGTCGTAGCGATCGATGTAGTGGGGCACGTGGAACTGCGGCTGATACTGGCTGTAGTAATGCTGCTGATAGTACTGCTGCATCTGCTGCTGGGTCAGCGGCGTCTGTTGCTGCTGCTGCGTGCGGCGCTGATGCTTGCCGTTGAACGAGAAGACGTGGTGGGTGCGCACGAACTTCTCCTCGACCTGTGGGAAGAGAGCGGGGCAAGGATCAGAAGAGGGTTCACATTGTTGACTTGAAATGTTATATAACTTGCAAATAAAAGTCATTTCAATGTCAAACCTTTGCATAAGGTTGCAAATAAAAACGGATCATTGAGGTAGGTATCCCATTATTAAATCCCCGCTCCACCCGCCACGCAAATCCACCCCCGACCATACGCGATGGCCCGGTCAGATGGTCGTGTGGCAGCGCGTTTATGAATAAATTTCATTTTAGAGTTTACCATATTCTCTGCCAGCAGCAGATATAATAAATGTATTTATATTTCATTTCCTTTTCCCTCAACTCCTGTTGTTGTTTTTTTTAACGCTGAGAAGCAGCTGCTACCGCTGCTGTTGCTGACCCACACAGGCGCTGGGCCTGTGGTTCTGGGTCTAGGTCCGGGCCTGGGCCTGGGTAATTAAAATGAAAGCTCCATAAGCCGCGCATGTAGGCTATAATTATAAAATGGCTTAAACTGATGTTTATCTTAATGCAGCGCCACTGACATTCTGTCGTCCCCTGGCAGCCATTCCATTTCTACATTCCAGCTCGCTCTGCAGCCCTGGTCACACAATATGCAATTGACCAACATTTGTGACCCTGGCCGTGTGTTCTTATAAATTAATAGTAACTCATATGCATACGCACCTTTTTGCCATTGATTAGCCATGTTATGTGCGGGGCTGGCCGACCTCGGGTTGTGTTGCACAAGGCGAACAGCTTCTCGCCAATGGCGAAGGGTGTCCGCTTGCGGAACTTGATGGTGGGTGGACCTGTCTGAGGCACTGTAAAGACATTACAATTAGTGTTAGCCAGCTGAAATTGGCTTGGCAATTGTTACGCACAGAAAACGCTCATTAGCTCATCCGCGCTGGCTTTCGTAAAGATGGGCGTGTCCGTTGATACCTCGCAGTAGAACTGGCCCGACAGGTCGAACTGCACATTCTTCAAGGTCACCTGCGTTTCGTTCGAGTTCTCCCACTGTCAAGCAAATGAAATAAGTTTAAATACTCACTTATTTTAAAGAAATAATTAGCCAATTACTCGAGCTATCGCGTATATTAGTAACAAGTTAGTGCATGATAATTAAGTGCAATTTACCAAATGACTTACGACAGCTGTTGCGTTCAGAACTAAGTTCACAGCGCCAAGGCTTGAGCTCTAAATAATTAAAACATAATTACGTTACTTAAAATTGCGGTCGATAACTATCAATCTTTAACTAATAATATTTGACAGCTTAAGCTAATAAGGTACATGTGCTTTTTTGAATTTCACATTTTATTTCTTCTGATCAAATCAATATGAGCAGATGTAATTAGAGTTTTTTATAAATAGACTGAAAAATTATATTAAGCTGGCTTGCTCAATTTAAATTTAGTTAAGACTAAAACAGGAGCGACATGCTCTTAACTTAATCTTAAAACAAAACTTTCGTTTTTCTCAATAAATTCCTTTTACTTCAATTAAACTGGGGCTGACAGAATTTAATGGACATTGACTTGCACAACTGACAGGTTCATTTAAAAAGAAAAATGCGCGTATTTTCGCCCTAAAACAACTTTTATTATACTCTAGCTAATGGCCATATAATCTTCTGTATTAATGCGTTATATGAAAAGGTCGCGTCAAGTTCTATCGCGCACATGTATAATAATATTGAGCCGAAGGGCTCACACTTTTAACCCTTACCCATTTCATGTACTCACAACAATCATAGAGACAATCAATGGAAATTATATAGAATTACTTATTTAACATGCCTGCAAGGGTATTTAATCTTCGGTACGTCAAAATTAACTCCCCCCACGCCCCGGCAATTTGTGTCTACTTACATCAATTTCGGCTCCCTCGATGGTGGAATTACGGAATGGGGGATTGCGTCCGTTTATGAACTCGAAGAATTTGCCCTTCTCAACCTTCAGCCATGTCACCTGCAATCAAACAAATACATTTGGCCATATTAAAATATTGTTACGTAACAGTTGTGTTGTTGCCGCGCTGATTGTGACATTGATTGAGTAACTGCGTCAATTGGAACTCGAGCCGTCGGATCGGTTCATGACTGCCGCAGTTAATAATCCAGAGTCAGTAATTTGATGGAAAAAATGAGAGAGAGAGAGAAAAAAAAGGAAATGGAATATAAAACAAATGCAATGCAATTTAACTTTGCAACAAGTTGCACGAATTTGTTGCGACGACAATTAAAATGCGCGTTAAGCTGTAAAACTGTAAATAATAGAATGTTTTATTGAAATGCCACAGGCAAATGTCAAACGGTCAGCATGAGGGGGGGGCAGCTGTCAAGTACATGTTTGTCCACGTCGTCCTGGGGGAGGGTGGCGGGATGGGGGCGTGGCGAGTGCGTTATTAAAAACGAGGCTTGTGAAGGCAAACATAAATGCACGAATCTGACTGAAAAAGTTAGCGCCAGTGCAAGAGGGACTTGGCAACAAGAGCAAATATGAAAAAACATAATGTAAATGAAAATAAATTTCCATTCGCAACTTACGACTGTGGAAAAGTTTTTAGTTTTGGGGTCGGCGGCAAAGCGCGAGACAACCCTTGAGGGCGCCGGAAGTGAAAAATAAAACGACGCTTGCCAGCAGCTTTTAATTACGCACAATATTTATTTATTGCACTTTATGCGACACACTTTGGCAGCTAAATTAAAATGTACTCGTAATTTATTTAAGAGCTCTGCTTATATTAAATGTCACCCACGACTGGGCGTGGGGCAAATTGGTTGATTGACATGCTTCACAGCAAATTGCATTGATTGCATGCAACTTAATAATATTAATGTGCCCCCATTGAAAGTGCCTGCGGCGAACGCGGCGTATACGCAATTTGGGCCGCAAATGTCGTCATTACTCACGCATATGTTCTCTGCCAGAGCAATCGATAAGGCACACGTTCCTGGTACACACAGTGCCCTGTTTTGTGCGGTCAAAGCAAACATCAACATGCAAACATCTGAACCATTCGAGAGCACACATAACCACGTTTGGGCGCCCTCTCCATGTGCCCATCAAATTTTATCAGCCACTTGTGGCAATTTTTCGAAACAATTCCTCTTGATATGACATGAACTTTTCGGAGCCACTGTCACACGGTCATAATAATAACCAGTGTGCATATCGCAAAGTAATCAAACGGCGACAGTATCTGGCTGTGGCATGGGGCATGGGGCACTTGGAGCACGTTGCGCTCCTGCCGCATTGTTTTGTATTTTTGTTGTTTAGCCAGGCATGAGTTTGGCATGTGTTGGCTTGGCGTGTCCGCTAAGCCATGGTCTGACTTTGTGCATATTTTGTGTGTGTGTTTATTAGCCCGCTTCTTTTTTTTTTTTTTTTTGGTACTCAGCCGGCAAATCAAAAGCTCAATTACGTGGTCGGGCCTGAGCTGGGCCCCGTTGGCCCAGCCTGCCATTGGCAGCGTAATTAGTTTATTTAATTTATTTTTTCGCGCTGCTTTTGTATACCCAAAAGTATGCTTCAGCATGTGAAAACCATACGACGAAGCCGACTTCAATTCCATGGTTAACCGTGTTCGCATTTGCGTTTTAATTGCCTTTTTAGTGCCACTTCCACACAATTTGCCACGCTTCGTGCAACAATTCGAATCAAAACCGGCGGCATGGTGCCGACTCTGCCAGCGCACTCGGTTATATAGTCAATTATACTAATTAGCCATGGCCAGGCGGTAGTAGCCGCAAAACGGCCAACTGGCCAAATAAAATAATGTCTACATGTAAACACGGTGGCAAGTGCTGCGCTTATTTTATTTTTACCCCTCAGCCAATTGTACGGCTGCAGGTATGCCCGAGGGCTGGTGTACAGGTGTGCATATTAAATTTGTTAGCTGACACTAGGATGAAAATCAGAAAACACCATCAGCGAGATAATTTACATAACTTTTTCAACAACTAAATAATAAAAAAGACAAACAATCAAATGGCAATTATACGCTAATTTAAATATTAAATTTCGACCGATAAAAATAACAAATAATATTGTGGGTTTGTTGTTGATTTGATATCGTTTTTTGGGCTGGATATCGTACAAATAATTGAACACAATAAGCCCACAAAAATGCTATAATTAGTTTATTAATTCTTTAACTAAATTTCTTAAGTCTGCTCGTTACTAAAAATATATTTTGTGGAAAAATATAACATATGGAAGAACATTTGAAATGAAATAAAATCGGCTTGCATGTTTTTTATAAAAAATATATATACAATTAATAATATAGACAAGATAGATATTAGACACAGAAAATAGAATAACGAAACAAGATTTTAAATTGTAAGAACATGGCGAACTAACAAAAGACATCAAATGGTGCATAAGGCAAAAAAGTCCTTACAAACCACGTATTAAATAAAAAAAAAAATAAAAAAAACAATTAATAATCTTTCTTTAGCTGGCTCAAGGTCCACTTAAAAGAGGATTTATAAAATGAAAACATCGCCAAAACCAGCTTAAAATAAATTATATTGAGCCGAAAACAGAAGCAACTTTGCTTTTTTTTATTACAACGTCTTGTTAACTAGTTTAAAAATAATACGTGTAAAGAAAATTAGAAAAAAACATTTGGGCATTTATAGCTTAAAGGTTGATATTATTGATATTTTTAATACAGAGCTAACCCTTAATTGTCGTGAATAAATCTTTAGTTTTACTGGATGCAAGCTCTAAATTGGAAAATCAATAATGATTTTAAAGAGTTTGCTTAAGGCAATATCTTATTTTTTTTTGGCGATTAGCCTTTTGTCAATTCAACTATTCGAATAAAGCAAAGTGCGGTAATTTACTTTCTTTCCAGCTAACACATTCATTAATTTGATAATGACAAATTAAAAACCTTACATTAAAAACATGTATTCCACACTTTCGTTTAAAATTCATTCTTGATTTCGACGAAGTAGCTGCAAACTGCTGCTTCTGCTGCCGAAAACAGGAGAAAAATCAATATGTTGTGCGCTTCTAAAACACTCAACTTTGTGGTATTTTTGCGCCATCAAAGTTGTACGCTTTTATGGTACTTAGAATGAACAAAACGACAACCTCGCGCAAAACCTCCATCTCCGTGTCGACCTCTACCCCAAAATTCAGAGAAGTCGCTGCCGCTACCGCAGCCGCAGGCGCTGGCGGTGTGCTTTTGCTTTTGCTTGGCCTTGAATTTGTATGCCACGATTTGTAGTACCACAAAGTTCCAAACTAAACTAAAAGTATGCACGCGGACTAAGTCAGTTACACTCGGCTACCGCCTGGGTCACTGTGGCAGGAAAACTAAGCAGCTCATTTGCCATAAATTCAAAGGCGTCGCCTTTGGGGCCGTAAGCCGTACGCCGTAAGGCTGTGCGTGTCCCTTGATGTTTCGTGACAGTAATAAGAGAGTTGAAGTGAAATTAATTGTCGCAACTGTAACTGAAACTAAAGCTGAAACTGAAACTAAGGCGGAAGTGACAACGTCGGAGGCAATGAGGACACGATGAACCGCTCTTTGATTGCAACTTTTCACGACAATTGCAACAATTGCATTTGTGTCTGTGGCAGCACTAACAACATGCACCAACTGCAGCACCTGCCACTGATTGGGTAAGCTTCTGTCAAAGCTATAAACTTGCAATAGTGGCACAAAGTAGCACAAGGCAAACAAAGTTGCTTTGTCGTCGTGGTTGCCATTTCAATTTAAAGTTCTCAGTCTGCCTGCCACATTCATCATGAAAACGCTGATATATTTGACGGTAAAGACAAAGATAATAAATACACATTTGCTTGAGTTCGGTAAACTGAACTGAAGACTTACCTTGAACAGTATTTCCGGTATCACATTGTGCCTGCATTTCAATGTGGCGCTGGAGCCGCGCTCCACATATCTCGGCACCACCAATTGCACATCCACATCCGATTGTCCATCTGCGAAGAGGAGAAAGAAGATGAATATACATTTACTAAAGTTGCAACATGCATCGACGCTCAATTGCGGCTTAATTGAATGCCATTAAAATGAACATGCGAAAGCAAAGGCAAACATTTCCAAATATGCAGTGTATTTTAAGTGCGGCCAACTGCGAGAGCCATCGCCTTAATTGTCAGTTTATGGGATGTAGGGTACTCCGACCCCGCCCTCCAACCGGTCCGATAAATTTTAATTTGTTTGCCAAAGTGCACATGAGATATTTTTCCGCCTGCACTCGAATATGTGCATGTGAATGTGTGCGGAGCATTGGACAGGCGGCGAGTGTCAAATATTTACGAGGGACAGCATGCACCAGCACCTTTTCCACCCGAACTCACATTGGCGCGGGAAGTCCGCTGCGGCAATTTTCCGACATATTTTTTTACAGCGCAACAGTTCTTCAAGCCCTCTTATTCGAAGTGCGAATACTTTTAAAATGAATGCTGCACTTTTAAGGCTCAAAAGGGTCTGCATTTATTGATTAATATTAATTACATTTGGCATTTCACATAATTTATTATCAACGATTCGTTTTCAAACCGAATTAAAAATGCATTTACATTTTTTAAAAACTTTTATTATACATTTTTCTTTTTCGATTTGTTTTTTTGATTATCCTTTGGACATCTGCGTTTACTTAATCAACTTGACGGAATTAATTCTTTAATTTATTCCATTTTATGTGTATTTTATTTAATTTGTATTAATTTCATTTGCAGTTCGCATGAATTTCCTGTGTACTTAAACTCACACTGATTGATCAAAATACTTTTTTATGTGACTGACAAATTAAATTACGTGTAAATATACCAAAAAATTTAGCGAAAAAGTGAATTAAATAATTTAAATGTAAATGTAAATAACATTTTCCATGGAAAACATGGAAATCGGAATGAAAACAAACGATTACAAACTCAGCAATTAAATTTTGGCTAAATAGTTGAGCGGATTTAATATTATAGAGAGCTTCGCAGAGGCAACAATTTGCAAATTGGCCGCTAGAAATCGATAAATTAATTGGCAATGTTGCAGCGAAGAGCGCGTCCAATCCCAATCATAATTAAGACACCAAATGGTAAAAAGCAAACACATTGCCCCATTCGCGAGGGGGGGGGGGGGGTAGGGGCCTACAAAGTGGCGCCAATTTCATTTTCATTTATTCACACCACGCGGCTGTCGTCAGTCACGCAAAATGTCAACGACTGAGTAAGTAAAAAACGTGTCAGGCCGCGCGAAAAATATGGAAAAAGCGGAAAACAAGAAAACCAAATGAAATGAAGCACGTCAAGTGCATGACAGGCGAGTAGACGGACGGACGGACGGGCAGGCGGATAGGCTGGCAGGCAGGCCGTCAAACATGGTAACATCGTTGCCCTTCTGGTTGGCAACTTGTTGCAATATACAACGAACATGCCACGTTTCCATTGGTTTTGTGGCATTGCCCACAGCAGGACGTCTGTGTTTGTGTTCGTGCCACACGCTAACGAGCCGTAATTCACGAAAATTCAATCATGCCCAGCTGCCCAAGAATCGACAGCCAAGCCGCAGCCTTCAGCCTCCAGCCTCCAGCCTCCAGCCACCAGCCAGGCAGCCTTACACCCATTCATTGATGCTGCAGGGCCAAGGAGCAGACAGCCCTGACACGAACTCGAATCCGAATTGACTGACTTTTTGCCAGCGCCAGCCTTGATAATCCTGTCGAATATTGGCATTAATGTCGCCACACTCAACATCAATTTTCTATGAGAGCCGCCTTGGCAGCTGTCCAATACTTATTTAAAATTAAAAAAAAAAAGAATGAACAGAATGGAAAAAGGAGGAAACTTCACGACACGTCCGTTGACAAGATGTTGACCAACCGCAATAATTGTTTTGCAGCCCGCCGCCAGCAAAAGAAAATATTCATTACAGAAAATATTCCCAGCCGACAGCCCACAAGCCAAACGTTTGGCCTGTTTCGGCAAAGCTGCCGGCTTGTTGCCTGTTTTGGGTGGCAACAAAAAATGAGCTCACTTTGACAAGGGCGGCGGCAACGTTTTGTTGTACGTGGTGTACGTGTTTTACAAGCGGAAATTGATGATTTTCCACGAGTCGAGCGACAATAAAGCGTGCAGCGTGTCAGCAAAACGCAAATAATCAATCAATCAGCATTAATCAAGGCGGGAGTGGGCGTGGTATGCCTACATCAGTTGCAACTGTTGCCCAACGGAGGGCTCGTCTCGGGCTCCGCTCTGAACAAGAACAACTACATCAGCATTTTTGATATGGTGTGGAAATTGAAATTCTCAAACGGAAAATTAATTTAAAATCATGTATCAGCGAACCTCTGAAATATCTGATAACCGAGCTGAGATTCAGGCAATACAAGCCTTGAAATCCTATTATCACATTATCCTTTGTTCCTGGTATCTGGTTCCTCTTAGAGATTAGGTACGCGTAGGCTGTTTGATGATTAAGTGATGCCCTCAAGGGTACAATAATCGGCTCAGCTGCATATAGGATGTTCACCTGGATCGTTTAATTTCCTGCCTATTTCACACCCATTAATATTCTTATCACCTAATCTGCAATCCCTGACCTGAAGCTACAACAGGAAATGCCTGATTTTATTCTCAAATCTGATTTTGGGTGCTCTGCAGCTCTTGCTGCTTCTCCACACATTACAATTGGAAGCCCAGATATTTGCTTTCTGTGGCTGTGGTTGAGGATTCCCTCGATTTACAGCGATTATTACAAACTCTAAATTTGTGAACTTCAAGCATTTGTATTACGACATTTTTATCGACCCGTTCTTGCGCCGTGAATATAAGTTACTGCTACTTTTGCATTGTCGAATAATTTTAGCTGGAAATCCAGCCGTTGGCGGGTATTTTGTGTGAAGGTAGCTAAGAATTGCGTCTGTAGAGTAATTGCTCAACTTCCGGCTTAAGTTAAGAATCTCAAATGCGTTTGCAAAATTTACGGAAGTTAACCCAAACAGAGCTAGGTAAGCAATATTTACTGAAGAAGAGAAGAAAGCAAAATTCCGAGGCAAATATGCAGTTAAAGTAATTTTAAAAGTAACACTACAGCGACTGCTAAATTGTTTATATACAAGAGATCCTTAGAAAATATTAAAAAGAAAATAGAAACCATTTTAATGATGACCCAAATTTCTTCTGATAATTGCTTTGATTAGTTGAACAGCCATTTGAGATATGCTTCAATGGAAGAACCAAAAGCTGGTGATTGATTGTGCGGACTGAAGCGGACTTCTTTTGGCCAGAAACTGAACTGTTTACCTGTTGGCTGGTTAGGCACTAATTGCAATAACATCAACAAATTATTGCAACAAAAACAAACAGAAAGAACAACAATGGCGGCAGGGCGGAGAGTGCGAATGGAAAACCATAAACAGCTTTTGCCGTTCGATTGTTCGATAATATTCATATTTTCAATTGATTGCTAAATCAATATTTGAACTTTGGCAGCTGTGCTCGACGCTCGCAATCCGCCCGAGGAAACAGACACACCGAAATAAACTACGACTTCTGCCAAGGAATATGGCAGATTACCAACGAGAGTTGTGGCTGATCGGTTGGTCGGTCGGTCGGTCGGTCGGTCGGTTGGTTTCTTGGTCTATTTGTCCCTCGGTGGGTCTGTCCGTCGAGACGTGACACGCCCGTTACAGTAAGAACACAGAACGCAATTATGGCCCGCAAGTTGGAGTGTGGTTGAGCTGGTAGGTGTCCTGTCAGCTGCCAGTTGTCCAGCTGCCAGTTGGCCATGTTGTAGCTGACCAAACACACTGTTGCTTATCAATATAATGTTGAATCATTATGGTTGATTGGCAGACGAAAACAATATACACGCCCTTAACAACATGTCCTACTGGCAATATGCGCACATTCTACACAGAAGTTCATTAGACACCAGCTATCCGGATGATTGACTGACTCACAGCCAGTTCTAGTATCAGTTTCATTCAGTTACTAATAGAATTCCCAGCCGTTTGATTTTTCCCAGTAACTTTTCAGTTTCAGGCAGGCAGCAAAGTGTGGCGCTTTAATGATGCCAATCACAATTTCTAATTGATTTGTTAACTATGCGGCTTTCAATTTATGATTATGCTTGATTGATATTTGGGAGATTGATGCAAACTATGCGCTGAGGTTGTTGCGGCTTCAAAGAAACCACACGACGACAAACAAGCCAAGCAAATGTTTTCAATACAACTCAAATACAACCCAACACACGCCCACGCGCACACATATGGAGGGAACAACAAGAAGGAGGACAAAAGAACCTCATGCAGCTTTGCAGCTTGAGCGAGGAAAAGGATAAAGGCATAAGTCGTCATGTTGCCAAAGCATTCGTTCAGCAAATGTAGGCTTCGTTTGCTCGAAGAACCGAAACGGGCGGCGGACTTGAAATGGGACTGGGTTTGGGTTTGGGTTTGGGCTTGGGCGAGGGGTGGCCAGACAAAGTAAGGTCTGCAGGCAACGCCTCGGTGGCATAAAGTAATTTTATAGAACAAATCACAGGCATTAGTGGGTATAAATCCCGTTTATCCTTGCCTGTGTATGCGCGCGTGAAATTTAAATATGTAGCGGACACAGTGGGGAGACAGAGGCACAGAAGGAGAAGGAAATACAAGTATGCAGAACCATGGAGACCAAGAAAAATGTTCGTCTTTGGCAAGGACTTTGGCCTGCACGGTCTTTGAATAAAACGACTGGGTGCGAAATTCATGAAAAATAAAATACATAATATATATGTATATAAGTATATAAGTATTTAAGCTATTGTTTTTATGCGCGCTAAATCGCCTGCGGATATACTATTATGTAAGTTATTCAGCTGGTCTCTGAATTTTAAGTTGTCGTTTCGAGTTTGCCTTCATGAAGATAAGTTTCCCCTAGTTCGCGCACACATATCTCAGAAAATTAACCGCTGTTAGTTAAGCAAGAACTTATTC